TCTCAGTTTTTGAAGTCTGATGTAATATATCACGGGTCATAATCGTTGCCGAATTATGTATATCGGAGTAGGGAAGTAGATATTATGTGTACAATAGCACAATACACATCCCTCAAGTAATATAAATATTATAATTACTATACATCATGGGTTACAATTGGTAATTAAACCAAGAACGAAGGCAAAAATAAAAAAAAAAAAGGAATTCAAGATAATCTCGAAGGCACTTTACACTGCGATAAATGAATGAAATTATTTTTGTTCCTGCCGTTTGTGCAGTGGGATATAGTCGTGATTATAAAGAGCTGGTTTAATAGATATTGCAACTGCATATGACTTCTATTATGAATCATAATGAAAAATTACAATTTAAAAATTATAATCAATTTTACTACATTATGGATATTCAACTGTAAATTAAAAATTTGTCATCAATTATTTTTTGATATTTTGTTATAATTCAAAAACGAATTACCGTCAGTACTTGGATTTTTCACTAAAATAATTTTATACAATATGCACATTACATCTTTGCATTCTTAATGAATGATTAAATTTCGACTATTTTAGAGCAATTTAAAGACATTTTCAATTTTTTTTTTAGTTCTGTTTCTGTCAATGTCAAGACAATTTTTTTACTTTTTGGAGAAAAAGTTTAAAAAATGTAATACAAGGTTCCTCGTGGGCTGTTATCTCAGAAATGATTTCGACCTACTGCATGTATTTAATAGTAAAAAAAAAATATAGGATATAGAAATAAATAATAATTATAGAATATTTTCATAAAATATACTTAGTGGGTATCAATAATATAAGCTGACAGTCCTTCTATGTCAAGAATCATTTTTCGTATACAATAATTTTATATTATTGAATTCAAATTTGATAATATCCAAAATCCATTACAGTGACCCACTTGATATTTAATTATGTACAGCAGCTCTGATAGCCACATTCCCACCTTTTTTCTACTTTATTCTACAAAATGTTGAAATGCATCAGTCTAGCAATTAAGTACAATTAGTTCATTTTGATTGCAGTAGAAAATAAACAAGTGTGATATAATTATTATTTAGCACACCGTTAAATAAAATAATTGATTGCAACTTTTGATGGTACTACTCTACAGTCTACAAATATCATGTGTATAAACTGAAAAAGCTTGAAAATGTCGATAAAATTAATATATTTGTCTTGTTAATATATTTACCAACACAAAGCTTTCACCTTTAATTTTCTTACACTATATTTCCGAAAGTTTCGTGAATTGGTGTTAATATTGTCAACAATTTGGATAAACTTGAAGATCGAGCATTATCAATATTTATTATTTATATTTATTAATAAAACATCTCCAGAAGATTTATTTTCAATAGTATCATAGCAAAATTGTTGGTAATGGTCTAGCAAACATGTTGTCATCTGCTTTTCGTTTTCAATTATGACTATATTTTTATCTAGTTAAAATATTTTTTGATAATGATTAATACTTCAATAATTACAGAATTGAGAATTTCAATTCAGGCTGTACAGTATACAGTATCGTTTTTTTTTAAATCTTATGGAAAATAAATTTATGACTGCCAAATACCAATCAATTTAAATGTTTTTCTAACTTTTCATTGAGTTGTATAATTCACTATTCTTATTACGTTCATTTAAATTAAAAATATCACGAACCACATTTATGGAACATTACGTGAATATGGACATTATTCACATTTTAGAGATTGGAAAACAAAAATTGTAATAAACATTTTGTATAATATTATGTTAATTTCTGAAACATTGAATACCTTCCTATTTCTTAATGTAAGTGTAAAAGGTTAATATTTGTTTGCATACTATTTATAATATTTTCTAAAGCAGTTGATGTTATTATTTTATAACTTATGTATTTTAGTATGAACCTTCACAAATATTTAAAAATATATTTTATTAATATATAATATGTCGTTCATAAACACACGTTCATATTTAATGAACAATACACACACGTCACTCATTTTATTCAAATTAAAGGCCCGTTCCAAAACCGGAAAGCTCCATTTTTCGTCAAAATAGGGTTTAATTGAATTTTATAAAGCAAAAAATTAGTTTATCCCTACAAGAAGAAGACAAATCCGACCACCCGTATCGGAAATATAACGTAGCTGGGAGCTGTCTGTTTTTCTTTCTTTGAAAAACCAGATAGCTCCAAAGTTTTGAAAAACGGAATTTGCACGGATCTATCCATTTTTAGTTAAGAAAAATTTGATGAGGATTTGTTTTCCATCCTATTATCCCCCCACTATGGATGTATTTTTTAAAATAAAGGTGTCGCTGTGTTGGGTTTAAAATTTTAAATAGAATCTCTCGACCTGAGATATTAATACTATTATGGTTTTATTTATATAAAATAATTGTTTAAAAATTAGTGTTCTTTTTTTTGTCACCGATCACTCGAATTGTTACCTACTTATAGGCAAGGTTGAGCATTAGCGAGTTAATACGTTAAAAATTTAGTTTATTTTAACTTATTAACTTGACTTCCTAGTCCGCTGTTATAAATAACATAAATTTAACTTAACCCATTTATATCTACGTCAACTTAAAACCAACTTATATAATTATTTTTAGTATTCCTAATTAAGTAAGTTTTGAATTTTCAAAAAAATATTATTTATATAATTTATAATGCCGTAGAATACAGAACATTTTATTAGAAAAAAAGGTATATATAAGTATATTGACCGAAAATTTCGTATATATTTTTATTAACAAAAGCTATTATGTCGTATTTATAAGGAAATAATTAATAATAATACAGGGGTAATTATGTAGGTAACTAACGACTAACATAAATCGCCCATATAAAAACGTCAATAGATACGAGTCCGTGAAGCCATGATTTATAGGGTACCTACTTAATAGGTACTCATTAGCTTTTACTTATTATTTTTTAATATATTTTGCATAATAATTTTATTACAAAAATACCTACCTATACTGGTATATTATACACTTCTCATTTATACATTCTTAGTTCATTGTTCATACAGTTTTCACTTTTCATTCCTCTTCGGCTAGCTCAATCGCTCATAAGTCATTACACTGCTGCAGCTTTAACTATTATCTAAAGAATCACTTACTCTGAATCAGAATGTCATAATAGGTAGTGACTTCAATAATGATTTTTTTAGTATTGAGGAAAATCATGTTTTGGATTCAAATACTGATTATCCTTCTTGTTGACAATTATTTGTCTAACATGAATATATTAAATCTCCTTCAGAAGTATAAAATTCCCCTAAAGAAATATATATTTAGTATAATAAGTACTGCCGTCTATTCATCTGCACAGTTTGAGTAGCTTTTTAGTGCTGGAAGACAGTTACTGAACAAGCGAAAAGGATCAATGGCAGATCAACATTTTGATATGACATTGGTATTAAAATTGAATAGATATTTTGAATAAAAATATTATAATTTTTTATAATTTTTAAATGTATGAGTAATCCACATTTTTTAATTATTAGTGTTAGTGTGTTACAATAAAGTACCTGAGCACATCCACACAATTTAAATTTAAATGAACCCAGAGTGAAATATAAATAGAGTTCTAATATGATACAGCCTCATAGGTTTTAAGTTGCATACATAATATTATAATAACTATATATGCATATGTATGCATTGTAATATTGTATGAAGTGAACATAATCGTGATGTACATAATGACTTTACATTTTTAATTACTAACTTATAATGTATACAAATAAGCAACAATATTTTTTTTATATATAATGATGAATTAAACATTTTTAAATGAAAAGTTTTACAATGTTTATAGAAATGATTGTTTTTATATGTAGAATATTAACGTACTAAATGTTTATCTGTTGTTTTTATTTTATAGGGTGCTCGAGCACTGCAGCACCCTAGTTGTCGGTGCCCATGCATCCAAACCAAAAAAATGTATGTCATTTACACTACATATTAAGTCATACCAAATATTTACATAAATGTACTGAGTTTTAAAGTTCCACTAGTCGGTTTGACTTACAAAATATAAACATTTGATATTTGAACATTGAAATGAGAAAAAACTGTAAATGAGTTTGAGAAAGATTTTTTAAAAACTCTTAAACAATGCTATTTTTGGTGAAATCATGTATTGTATATTTGTATGTGAAAAAAAATAAGATGGAACTAGCTTCATGTCCAAAATGATAACAAAAAGATATCAACAAGCATACATTAAAACCATTGAGGTACATACAGCAATAATGTAGCTACAATTTTGGTGGAAAGTAAAATTATTAAGTTTTGCAAGCCAATATAATATATTGGTAATTGTAACATATAAAACACATAACATTATATTTATACCTAATATTATTAATTTTTATTAATTATAAACTTATTTTTTAATTTTTTTTTTACTGAACCAAGGCAACTATGGCAGTTAGATGTTTTGTAGAGGGTTAGGTTGGTTGGAACACATATGCATGCAAAGATTTTGTTGCTAAAATCCTGGGTGGTCACTCATCCGGGAGCTAGCAACGACAGCCGGTGCGTGCACCCAGAATGTTTCCACAGATTGAGCACACGACCGTGCTTCACCAAGCCACTAAACTTATTTTTTATTATTTCATTTTACAGATTCTGCGGTACTTTGCACAAATAAATTATAGGTGTATGCATTTCATTATGATACTATGAACTAGTATAAAGATACGTTTTAGTCATAAAGTTAACCTCATATACACAGATAAAGGTACATTTTTATAATTATTATTGACTTTTTTCGTATACATACATAATACCTTGTTTTTTTTATGGCATATGTGACACCATGACAAAAATTTGTAGTAAAGTAAAAATATACTTTTATGAAGAAAATACGTATAAAATAAATTAATAAGTAGAAATCATGTAAAAATATATTTTTATGATAAAGTTTATTTTAATTATTATTAGACATTTTTTTTTTTAATGACATTTACAATCTGTAAGTAAAACATGTAGTTTTTCATGAAAAACACCCATTAATGATACTTTCATCAGGAAGAATTATTGAAATTAACTATTATGAATCTAATATTTAAGCTAATAATTTTAGTCTTTTAATCCTCAATTAAATAAGCATATCGTTTTAGTTGTTCTCTGGGGATTGACAGACATTTTACCACAAATATAGACCAAGTATTCTTTTCAGCAAAATTCATTCTCGCATAATAATAAACTATGTCCTTCATTATTGCAGTAGCCACCATATTCATTTTTTCAATGCTGAGGTCTGAAACAATACATTTTTTTTTCATTATTTAAAATAATATTTATTATTTATTCATTTATTTTTAGCTATCAAACAATATTTGAAATTTCCTTTTCAAAATTCAGGCAAATCCATGTTTAGAATTTTTGAAATTAGTTTCAAAGTTACAGTCAAACTATAGGTTAGGTAATAGGTACCCAATATGTTAGTCTAGGTTTGCAGTCAGCCAATTGACTCTTTTCCCAGGTGTTAACATTAAATAACACACCAAAAAGCTGGGGTCAAGCACATAACCGAGATCAGTTAAAATTAAAAAAATTACAGTAAAAAGTTGAAAAGTTTTGAAGATACATCAGCAAATAGGAGGTAGGTTTAGTTTCAAGTGTTCGCATAGATGTAAGTATATGGTATGCGGTAACTGGTATAAAATATAACATTTTATTCTCTATTATATGAAATATACTATGGTAAAATTGTAGTATAATATACTATTATATAAGCATGAAATATTTAAATATAATAACCTAGTCTAATCTATAGGTACTGTGAAACGGGTTTACTTGAGGCACTTTCAAATTGTAATTTAAATCACATAAAAACTACTAAGAGGACTCTAAAAAACCATTTGTTGTCTCTGTTTTATAAGTGAGTAAAGTAGAAAATTTACTCTCGGCATACTATGTTTTACTCAGCTTAAAAATTAGAGTGAATGATTCATGGTCATATTATGAAACTCAATGGTAAGAACATTATACTTGTTGGTGGTTTTTTTTTATGATGGTCACAAATTTGTAAGACAGAAATTACAAATGGTTGTGTAGCGTCATCTAACAAAAAATCTGTTTCTTACTTTTTTTTAAGAAAATTATGATATTACAATTTTACTTCAATTGTTTTATATAATAGTTATTAAAATTCAAACATTTCTTTATAGCCTAAGTAATAATTTTTACCATTATTCTCTACGCCTACAGTTTATGTTGTAAACTACATACAGTGTTAAAATTTTATAATATATATTGTACATTCATACAGACTTAATAACATGATATTGCAAGCAGACGTTACACATAAGAAACTTACAACTATGGTAGTTCCTGATTCTACTTTCTGTAGTACCTTCTTCAGCAGAAAGAATTATACGTCCAACACTTGTTGAACGACCAAGAGGGTCATAGCGTATATGACTAAAAATAAAAGTAGATGTAAGTATAAAAGAGTTAGTTAACAAGAGTATTGAAGATTTTCCAATTTACATGTATAGCATTACGCTTTGTAGCCAGCTTATCTGTCCGTTTATTTTTCTATTTTTTTCTAGGTGACGTTTGATGAACCTAGCGAAATCTTTTTCATTAAATTGTTCCATGGTATTCTACAATAAAACAAAAATTGAACGGTTATAATATTTTTTTTATGAATATGAACATCAAATATAACTATTAACACTGTGCATTTGCATTACACATTTAAACTGTTACTGCTATTTCTTACCATCAAGATAACCTCAAGTCTGGCGACAGATGACTGACACTATGAGTTTCTTCTTTATGCTAAATACAGTAAATACTTATATTTGCCTTTGTCTTGTGAAATTTCAAAAATTTTACTTTAAATACAGAGGTGAGTAATGTAGTACTAAGATAGGAAGCTGATGCAATGATGTTCATGTGTTACTTGTTGTATTCGACGTGGCAACAAGTCATTCGGATGTGTCCTCATGGCTCATGGGACGGGTATAGATTTCCCGATTTTGATAACAACTGATAACAGCGAATCTGATAAGAAAAAAAATCAATGGCTCATGCCAACCTACAGAAGTTAGAAATAATCCCAATTCCCGCGTAGCTCATAAGCGATTAAATCAAAAATAAAATAATCGGTTTCATACAAAATAGCGATTTTTCGAAAAATGTATAGTGAGAAATTTTGTCTTCTATAAAATAAACCCCTGTTTAGTTAGCTTTTAATTGGCATAGTACTGAAGTTATTTTTTTATCATTTAGTTATTTTTTATTCATTGATTATTATGTAACGTATTAAATAATATGTTATTATAATTTTAATGCTTATTGCTTAGCAATATAATTTATTTTTCTTAGCATTTCAGCATACAAATTTAAAATATGTACTCACGATTTCTAGTGTTGTGTGCGTAATCTCAAAGGCTCCAAAAGCCGTAAGCTTTAGAGACAAATCAACAAGTACCAAATTGAACTATAGAATTATGTTTATTCAGCAGAAAATATAGTAATAGTACAATAGCGTGTGCGCGTGTGACGAGAAGTTGCTCAGGTCTCCGTGGCTATGATACATCTGCCCAGGCTGTCCCACGGGCTCCCTTATAAATGGTGGCGGCTCCTTTGATGTAGCGGCACGTGCAGTTTGTATGTGTTCGTGTTTTCGGTTGTTGTTGCCAATTCTTAGATTAGCGATTAGCGATTCTTAGAATTGCGAATCGTGTCCACGATTTCTAGTCATGTACCTGTCCAGTGTTTTATTACATGGATAGGTGCAGATAGTACATATTCATCATTATAATATTTAATTAATATTTTAATTACATATACGGAGTTCAAGACCGTAATAACATTAAGGTCAATATATTCTATATTAATTATAGCGAATAGGGTGCCTAGAGCGTCAAGGCCCGCAACACTAGTATTATTATTTTATTTTTTTGAGACTAGCGAAGGTGTTATTTTTGCAAACCTGGATGCAATTAGAAGATTTGGAGAAGAGTTGGCCGGAGTTACAACAGTTGGAATTGATGGAACATTCAAAACTGTTCCTGCTGCTCCAGCAGACTTGAAAAGTTTTCTGACTTTTCAAGTAGTGTTTAAAAGTGTGTCGTTCCCGATGGTATATGTCCTTCTAAGAAGTCGGACAGAAGAGACATACGTTACATTGTTTAACATTGTTCGTCAAATCTTACCTCTGAACTATAATTTGATTCGATTAGTTACAGATTTTGAAAAAGGACTCGTGAATGCAGTTCAACAAGCATTTCCAGAAAGCAGATTGTGATGTTGCTGGTTCCATTACACTCAATCGAGTACGATATTGTCATCGTAAATCAAATGGTGTTTTAGATTTAGTCAAGAGAAATCCTGAAGCCACTCGCATATTCAGAATGGTTCTTGCACTGCCTCATCTGCCTGCTGTTAGAGGTCATCTTTTATGTCCTCAATTTTGTATGTATGATGTTTTCAGGGCCATCATGCAGTATGTTCAACAATTTCCTGAAGTCGAACAGGGTATGAGAAATTTTTTAATTGGATATATTGATCATTATTGGTTTTTTCAGATTGGTCCTGAGTTTATTAGTGTTTTTGGAGAAGACTATCGTACTAACAACTACTTAGAATCATTTCATTCGACATTACTAGTGCAAATGGGACGTCATCCTAATATTAGGGATTTTCTCCGTGAGTCAGAGAAAGTCTGATGTGTTCTTTGTGTTGCATCTTTGTCCTCAATGTTTGTAATTATATGTGTTATGATTTATATGTTCAACAGTGTGTTAGGGATGAGTAAGTAAATTTATGTGTATTTTAATTTTAGTTACTAACAAATAACAATAATTGTTGCTTTTCTTATAGTCTAAGTGATATGTGTTTTATTCTTGACAACATGTTTATAATGCATGCCTCTGTATACTATTGTAGGAAGTTGCTTGATTTTATCTGTAATGCTAATACCAGCATCACCAGTTTTTTAATGATTTGCTTGTGTCTCAGCTTATTTTAATAACTAACATTTTTTTGCATTACACTGTAGTTATTTTAAAATTAGATTTGTAATAAATTAATAATCATGTGTCCATGCAATTCAGAGTGCAATTACAAATTTATTTTATAAAAGCTAACTATTTTTCATTGTATTTCAACCACTAAAATGTTGTAATCCGAGACATTTCATTGATACACTTCCTCAAGGCAAATCTGGGACATATCACCCTAACCTCTGAACCCTAGCCTATTAACTAGTATAAACTATCTTTGATTATTTTGCCCTGGGTGCAACATCTAGTTGATTTAATATGTTGCTTGATGTATATCATTAATTTTCTATTATATATCCATTAGTAATCATTTCATGTTAATTTTAGGGAAATTAACTTACATTGAAAACCAGTTTTCAGTTGAGTTTAATCAAATGCGGAACAATCTCATGGTAAATGGTTAATATACTTAATTTGTTTTAATTAATTTATAATATAATGAAAATTATTAATTTTATTAGGTTAGAGATGGCATATCTAGATCGGAACGAGTTATTGCAACTCATCTAATCGCACTAAATGTTCAGCGCCTTAATGAACAACAGGACCTCTTGATGTTTTTGAGGACTACTGGTCACCATAATGATGGATATGTTCAAAGGGAAATTGGACCATATGCGCAGCCATGAATGAAGCCATTACACTATAATTGCATCAATGTTAATGTATTATATTTAGGTTATAATTATTCATTATTTAATTTAAATTGTTTAAAATGAGTCATATTTGTAATTGTTAAATAAATGATGCAGGTATTGTATTTTTCTTAAAATATTACCACAGTGGTATTATGTATCATGTAGTAATTATTTATTTATTTTGTTTTATGTTAAATTGTATTTTGTTTTAAAAATTTAAAAATTGTTATATTCAACTAATTTCTTAATTGTATCTAGTGACATGTATTATATTTACCTTGTACCACCCAGGATGATATTATATATTAAGTACCTGTTTAGTTTTTTTTATTGTTTTGTATTAAATCATATTTTGTCTTAAATATTCTTAAATTGTTACATATTTTAACTAGTTATTATATTGTGACACAAGTATATTACTCACCTTCTATTGTTACCTAGGTGGTAACTAAAAACATTTAAAAAATCCATTAAGTAATAAATTTGTATTGTTTTCCAGTATAGCTAATTATTCTATCATTACTTATTGGTGTTCAATTACTGTTTTGTGTTTTAAAACTTTTTGAAATAAACTAATTTTGCTAAAATAGGTTTGATTCAGTATTCTATTAAATTTAAAAATGTGTTTATTATAAAGTGAACAGATCCCAATTAATTAATTTATCCATTTATTTTGGAGAATAAATTAATAGTACTGAATTTATGGATGAAATGTGAAGTTTCACTAGTCCTTAACTGGACTGGTTACCCCATGTTTTGTCAGGTATGAATCTACATTGAGTACTTAATTATCTTAAAATCAATATTGTGATTAAATATTCTATTAAAAAATGGTAACAAAAGGACGGACAGACAACAAGAATTAAAGGTGATCTAAACTTATGTTTAGTAAACTAAAACTATATAGGTACCTAATCTATTATATAAGCAATGTTATAGTTATATGATAAAATAATCTATTTACAGATTATTTTTTTAAGTATGCTCACTCTATTTGTATGTTTAAATTATGCATATACTCAAATTCTGATTTTTAGAATTTTTAAAAACACTTAAAGAACATATTTCGAAAACTTGAAATTACTACCACTTAAAAATGATCCTGCAACAATACAAACTTCTGTTTTTCAAATAGGAACCACCTTATTCACTATTAATTATTTAGCAGACTTTTTTGTTGTGAATTTTGATTAAAATTTAAATTAATTTAATTTGTAATTTTTGAATGACACAACTTTGACTTTTGAGTACTATATCTATGGTAATGGAGAATGAGTTATGTAACTAGGGGGATTAGATGATTTGAATTGGTCAATGTATAACAAATACTACATTTCTACATCTAATTAAGTAATGTTACATACTTTTACTTTTATATTTTTGTAAAGCCATATTTAAGGATTATTGTCGGTAGTAGTTAGTACAACGATTTTAATAACTCAAAAACTACTGATAAGAATTTTGAACTAAATATTATGTACAAACTTTTAAACAAATCGCCCTAACATGTTTGTAAATAATTTTAACATCCATATTTTGATTAGTAATTCTGCTTTTTTTTTTAGTTTATATCTTAATAATTTAATCAATAAACATTTTGTACTTTAACAACAACCATTATGTATAATATACATTTTTATGTTCCACATTGACCATTGTAATTTACTTCATAATAAATAAATAAATAAATAAATAAGATCATAGGCAAAGAATGTAAAATTTAAAAAAATAATTTTATTTTAATGTAATATATTTTATACATCTAATTGATTGTTACCATTAAAGAGCACAATTCAAGCTTTATGCCCGTGTGTATTTGTGGAATTTAAAGAGAAAACATGGCTTTCAGTCCATTTTCTCACGAGGATGCTCTAAAATGTCCGAGTGTAATTCACTTGAATCATATTATACCAATTAAATCTATATAATATTAGAATATTAGATAGATTTATGTATTGAACTCAATAAGTTTGACTCATAATGTTTTAATTTATATGACGTTTTGCTAGTCATAAAATATATAGCAATTAATAAACACATAGCATATATATGGAAAAATTAAATAAATTGTAAAAAAAACATATCAACCTACTTAATTTTATATTATACCTAATAATATTGTTTTATCATAATTAATTTAAAATACCTTTGAATATTAAATAAGTTTATTATTGCACCATTTAAGTTTAAGTTACAACTTACAATGATAGAAGATATAAAAACATAACAGCAAAATTGATATTTATAATATTAGGTACCACAAATTCAACACTTAAATAAATAATCATACTAAAAATCATTACTATCTAAAATGAAAAAAAAATGTGATAGTTATATTATCACATACAAAATTATTAATAATATTAATTATTATATGAGTATTATCATACAACATTCATAAAAAAAATAAACATACAATATTTGAATTGAATTTTAATAATTGAATTATCTGCCTAGCCAGTGGAGTTAATCTGCTTAGGGTTACTTTATATTAGGTACATAAATAATTTGTGAATTCAATATTTTTTAATACATGAAAAGTTAAATTTAATACTTCTTATTTAAATTAGAAATAATCATGAATAGTTCAATTGCAACAATACGTACCAATATTTTGCTAAAACATCGAATTTGCGTAAAAATTATAAAACAATAAAAATAAGATAGTTTATTAACTGTTAAATTTGTCAGTGGCTGAAAATAAAATAAAATATTAAAATGCAGGTAACCATGGAGATATATAATTGAGTATAATATTTTTGAAATTCCAAATAGGTTTTTTTACCTATAGGTTAATATACCTATTACATACAATTATTGTAAATTTTGCAATACTACGTCTACGAAAATTACTGCAATCGTGGAAAACGCAAATTCAATGATGATGGTGACGAAAAGAAAAATCTCGGCAATCTCGAAAGTAAGTAGTATCGTACGACGTACACGTCAATGTTTTCGTTGTTCTGTAATTAATTGTTAACACCTCAGGTGGGCCGATTTATGCATTTTACTTCCCGGGGCAACATATCTTGCCTCTTTCTCTAAAAAGTTATTATCTAACTAAAATGTAAGGCACGGTATTTAGGTATTTTAAACTTAAAATTTTTTTTTTAAGTCCTGTAGTTTTTTTACTATAACTTCCGAAAAAATTCTTAAACAATCATTATAGTAATAAAGGTGGAGTATGCAATTGCACACTTAATTTTTGAAAAAAATAGCTTCGGAACTAAACTACATTTGTTTCAATACTTCATACATTTATCAATATTAGTAATCAACTCTTAATTCTTAAATAGTTCATAAAAAAATTTAAGTAAAATAAAAATGAACACAAAGAATTCTTTATAATCATTTTATGTTTTTTTTTATTGAAAACAACATTTTATCATGCTTAATTAATAATTTTTGAACTAATTGAGTAGTTACGTGAGTTATGGTACCTACATATGTATATAGAAGTTTTGAACCTATAGTAGCTCGTCTCATCTCCACCTACAGGTACAAATAAACTAAGTTTAATTAAACATAATTTATACTTATTATACATTAAATTATTGTAAAACGCAAATAATAAAACATTTTTTTTTTATGAAAAATATTTGTTTGTTAAATATTCATGATATATATTGACGGAATTATTAATGTTGTCACAACATTGCTTTTTAAATGTGCATTGTAATAGCACATTCTCAAATACCTATAGTAACATAGGCCATACATTTAGGCATAATATAATGCATACAAATGCAGTGAAATGCGTAATTAGGTAAATTACAGATATTTGCATAGAGTTAAAATATTATGATAGTCGATATTTGTTATAAGCTTGAATCTGCGTAAAATAATAATAATTGAATAATAAAAATACTAATAAAAGATTGTCGCTGGCTGAAAATAAAATATAACAATCAAACGCGGCAACCGCGGATACTCCCTGGTATGTCGATGTCAACGTTGGATAATAAACAAGTATAATTATTTAGTTCAGCTAAAAAAACAGTATACCTTAAATATATCAGAATATCCATTCGAATATGTTACATTAATAATTGCTGAAAAATATTTTTATTTTTGCAAATTCTAGTCGTTACTTACGTAAAGGTATATGTTCCAAAATAGACTACAATCGGCAACGATCAGATGATGGAGATTTTCAGATTGATGGCCATATCAGAAAACTGTCGAATACCCATTATATCATAGGTAAGTACCTACGACCAAAGATATAATAACGAATTATTCAGTAATATACGATTGAGTAGAGTAAGGTTTAGAATGACATTTTAAGTAAAACGATTGAGAACTTTTTTTTGCATAAATTGTACTCATTTATTTAAAAGCTTATTTTATAATATGAACATTTTTTTCTAAATTGTAGCGTAACTGTTAGCCGAGAATCGTAAACACATCAAATTGTACATGTTTATATATATATAATATATTTACGAGGATTTATTATTTAAATTTTAAATTTTTAAATTTAATGAATTAATGTATTGTTATTACTGTCTGCGATATTAAATAAATTAAGATTATTATTATAAATATATAGATAAAGTGGATACCTATAAGTACCAACGTTACTGAAAATAAAAGTGTATTAAATAACAGTTAAAAGTTAAATTGACGGAAGCTTAAAAGTAATTAGTTTAGTTAAAAAAGTGTATATTAAATTAACTTTTAAACTCGCTTAATTAAATAATTAACTATACTTAATTATACTTTAAACTCCCCCACCTTGCGTACAATAGTATAGAAATGTATTAATTATCAAACATTATATATGCTATACTTTATTATAACAATGATAAGGATAGCTTTGAATTGAATAGGTAAATATCATAATTAATAGTTAATAGATTTTTGTAAAAAAAATATTATTGTAAATAACATACTACTAACTATAGCAGTTTAACAAGATCTCCCCCGACGGGATCCACCTTGAAGTGGTGGGGGAGCTTGCGGGCCTTTAATTAGGTCTTACCAAGAGATCCCAACCCGGCTGTGACCTTAATTGGTTGGAGCCGGAGTTTCAAGAGCCGCCCTCGCCTTAATTGGCTGGGGTCGGCAGGTTGGAGGTAGCCTGCTAGCACCAGCAAAGCCCTAGTGGAAGGAAAACCACGATAAAAAATTCTGAGCCGGCCCTTTCTCTGAATAGGTGATAGGAGAGAGGGCCGGTAAGGTCGGAGGCAGCCTGCTCGCACTGAGCGAATGCCCTAAGGGAAGGACAACCCTGAAAAAAAACCCCTCAACCCCCAACTCGTAAAGGGGGAGTACTTGGCACAGAGGTCAGTATGTGTCCACGTGGAACCTGTGGGGACCTGGCACCCCCCACAGTATGTGCCTTCACTGCGGTACGCTGCACTGCCGCAGTGCGACTATTTATAACATGCCTGCTCGTGGGAACAGTATGGAGGATAAAAACCGGCTTGAGACATTGGAAAACACAAATGAATCGGACATTGGACAAATCGGAGATAACGGAAATCGGAACTACAACAATGTATTAGGTGGCGTTAGTGAGGTCAATAACACCCACCAGGGAGAGGGGTCATCTGCATCTACTGTAAGTGCATTTTTGTAACGATGTACAATATATATATGTGCGTCATTTTTTTCCTAAATGTGTAAATGTTTATTGTGTACACAAACTTATGTTTTATTTTTAAATTATGATCCATATTTATAATCCTAATCCACATACATAATATTATATTATTATTAAAATATACTGCATCTGCATGGAGTAAGAAAAATTATGTCCGGAAGTCCGAGACACTATTAATACAAATCAATTTGAATTTATTTTAGGCTCTCAACCCGGGAGTACCTGCAAACAACAAGCGGAAGAGACAAACAGCAGATGAAAATGATGGTCACACCAGTAAATTGTCACGAACCTCAAGAGAAGCACTCAACAAACGAAAACGGCCAATTGATGAAGATTATGAAGAGGATGACAGGACAAACAAAAGGTCACGAAACTCAAGACATGTCCTAGGTAAGTAATATGTAAACGAATCGATATATTATTATAATAACGAAATTAACATATATCTGCGGTATAAATGTATAATATAATATAATATACGGTCGATAGTAGTGCTAAACGTATTATAGAGTTTAACCGAACCGATGAATGGATTCATATAGTTAAAAATGTACAAAATATTCAAATATTTACAGTTAGAGATTTTAAATTTAAAACAATAATTCTCATAAACAGTTTATACTTTTACAGGTCTACAAAGTATACAAACAGAATGTTTTTTAATAATAGAAATTGTTCGAATTTGGACAAATAAATTAGATAGTTAAACCAAAAATAACGGTTTTAGTTACTTTGTTGTAACAAAAAATATTATTCTTGAGTACTAGAAACATTTAATAAGTACGTAAATGATACAATTTTAGACACACAATAACATTTTCAAATGCAATTTTTTCGCCAAAAAATTGTTTTTACCTACTGTGATAGGTACTAATGAATAACAATAAAATTAATTACATTAATCACAATAATGTCATAAATATTATATTTAGTAATATATTAGATGTATGCTGACAGACGGCGTCTTTGCTAAAAATCATTTTGTGTGTAGATACAAATGATATAATGATTTAATATCATCCATTACAACGATCACTCAAGACAACTAGACACCTTTGTATAGCAGAGCGACTATCTTGATTTAATTTAATTTTTTAATAACGTAACCCAACTATTACAACCTGGATTTGTTTGCTGGTGGTCGTTGTAGGAGGGGGGCTACAGCAGCGTATCTGGCGCATACAATTTTCGAAGTTGCGATCGTATACAGAAATAATTATGTAGTTATATTATACATGTATGTATATATAATATTATTAATCATGATTTACGCGCAATGTAGATCCGTATGACGCAGATAGTGAGCAGTCGTCCTCAGATAGTGAGATCGACGCTCAACTGTCAAATACTGCTGCAGCCGCAGAAATGCCAATCGAGGGCATGGCGCCAGTGTTGGAAGATGATGTAAGTTGTACTTTTATGTAAGACATTCGGTGATTCTATTAATTTATCTTTTCAGTTTATAATTTTGAATCGTTTTTTAAACACTCGCTATCAGTGACAACTTATTATTATAAAATATTAAAATGGTTTAGGAATAACTGTGTACTAAAGTTTAAAAGTCCTTAAAATTGGCGAAATTTGCAGCTAAAATTGTTATTGTTTGAAAAACAATAATAATATAGGAACCTACAATATAAACATGTAAAAACTTATAACAAATGTATAACAAAAAAAAATAATGATAGTAAAAATAATTAATGAGGTAATCATAATATAAATCTAATTAATAATAGTTAAATATAATGTGAGTTAATAATAATATTGGAGATATATATACCTTGGCATATGCCAATCGACGGTAGAATGTATGTTGCGCTTTTTGTTCATAGATATACGTAGAAGTATGTATAGGTACTGTCCGAAAACTTCTTCTTTATTTTTATATTCTTATCCATTTTTCTTCGGTTTAATAGATAATTATAGAGAGAGGTGTAATATAGTATAAATCGAGCGATTACTACATATACGAGCGTTCTGGTTATTTTATTTCATAATAGCGTTCAAGCCTTATGCATTAAAAGATATCAAAATATGAAATCAAAATTTTTAAAAAATATTTTTTTTTGTATATAGGTACAATAATTATAATACAGCTTAATTTATCTTTCAAAGACATAAATAAATAAATACATAAATACACAAATACATTATACACTTACACCACACTCATTATGATATTATCATAATATATATTATGAAGTAAGAAAATTTATTTCTGAAAGTTGAAGACTCTAATACCTATACTAACTGATATTATTACTTAATAAAAGTAAATCTAATTTTATGTAAGGCCTTTGATCATCACGCTGGCGAGGCTCACTGGTTTGGTAATTCACAAGATGGGACATTATCGGATTTCGAGAACGATGTATACTTGCCCAACACTGATGCAGCCGCAGAGATGCCAATCGAGTACATAGCGCCAGTGTTAGATGATGATGTAAGTTGTGTACTTTTCTATTAGACAATCTCCGTCTTACTAAAAATTTATTTTTTTAGTTAATAATTTCGAATCGTTTTTCAATCACTTACTGCGGTGTAGTATAAAATGGTTTATTACTTTATACATTACACCTAATAGCGTATTAAGTGCATTAAAAGTTGGTTCTTAGAATATGAAATAAAATTTACCAAAAACACTTTTTTCGTATATATTTACGATAATAATGCAACGTAATTAATTTTATAATAATAGGAGTATGTAAATTGTAAGGAAACTTTAAAAAAAAAACTAAAACTCAACTTTAACCTACATATTTTTTATATTACTGAATAAAAGGAAATCTAAACTTATTTAAGGCTTTTGATGACCATGCTGGTGAGGCTCACTGGTTTGGTAATCCACAAGATGGGACATTATCGGATTTCGAGAACGATGTATACTTGCCCAACACTGATGCAGCCGCAGAGATGCCTATCGAGGACATGGCACCAGAGGTCGATGATAATGTAAGTTGTACTTTTCTATTAGATACTCTGTCATTCCATTGATTTATCATTATAGTATTACACTTAATAATTTGGAGTTGTTTTTTTAAACACTGCTGCGCGGTCTTATGGTGAATTCGAAAATGAGTTATTATTATTTATTATAAGATAGAGTCAAAGTCTTAGGATAAAAATTAATTTAATGTAAGTTAAACGTTCTTAAAATATGAAATCAAAATTGTCTAAAATATTTTTTTTCGTATATAGAATAATAATTATATATATATATGTATAATATATACACGCTAATTATGCAACGTAATTTATCTTATTCTAAATACATAAATACGTAGGAGTATGCAGCATTGTACGTAAACTTTTTCTTTATTTTGATAATATTATTATCTTTTATACCGAGTACACATTATCTACACATAATATTATAATATATATTTTGACGTAAAAAAATGGTCTTTGAAAGTTGAATACACTATATTAAACCTCTTGATTATGCAAGTTTATTTGCATAAACGAATTATCCCTGATCAGTTATTGTAGTTATCTATGATTGATACAAATAAATAACACTACAATTATTAATTTTCGGGGGGGGGGGGGGGTGAACTTTCAAAACCTCCCCCCTGTATACGTGCCTGTATATATAGTATTATTGTTTAGATATACGAATACATTTTACCCTACTTTACGATATGTTATGTTTATTATTTATTTTGAAAATATAGTCTTTAAGCATATATTTCAACATTATAAAAAACAGCATTTTAACAAATAATAAATATTACGCGTATATAATAATATTATGGTAGTATTCGTGATAAACGTATGCTATGCCACTCACACAAAAAATTAATATGTTCTTTTTCTTTACCAAACTCAATATTATAATATAATATAATGTTTTAAACGTGATTTACCTGTATGTAGACTGCCAGTAATGTGCCCAATGTAATCGCCTGGAATTGCGACTCAACGATTCAAGTTTCGTTTAATTGGGATGATCTTGACGAAAGTCTAAGAAGTCTAAGAAGACAAACTGAAGATGGCAATGACATCGTGGTAGTGCACATCGACATAACAGTGCGTACCTACCCACCTACATTATTTTTGTACTTTATTAAAATGACAATAAGTGCTCGTATATTGAAAATATGGACAATCTTACATCGTATAGGTTTTCTTAGCTAGTTCATTCAAGGTTACACAGTTACCTAACTAGCCTCTTTTATGTCAAATAAAAAGCATTATTATGGTATAGATATAGACATTTTTTTAATTACCTCAACTAACTTAACTGAAGACTTACCTATCTATAAAATAAACAAATACCTTTTCTCTTTTTATTTCTTATATTTGATATTAAAAATAAAATTGTACTACAGTTATATTATATGATATATTATAAGTGTCTACAGTTGAAGGATGATTTGCTGAGTTGTCCAAGCTTATCTAAACAAATACCTTTTCTTTTTTCATTTCTTATATTTGATTTGATAAGCTTGGACAACTCAGCAAATCATGCCTCAACTGTAGACACTTATAATATATCATATATAACAACTGTAGTACAATAATACATAAATACATTAATACCGTTCTTAAAATACGTAATACCGTTTTTTCTTAATACCGTTCTGTCAACAGATACATTACACATTTGAAGAAACTGACAATGATGAAGACGACGACATTGATGAAGACGACGACATTGATGAAAACGACGACACTGATGAAAACGACGACACTGATGAAGACTACGACAATAATGGAGACGACGACGATGGAGACTGCGACACTGATGAAGACTACGACACTGATGAAGACTACGACAATGATGGAGACTACGACAATAATAGAGACGACGATGATGAAGACAACGATGACAATAGTGACACATACGACAGCAGTGGTGATAACACGGACGACAGAAATGGCACAGACGACAGCAGCTCTTCAGAATGGGTATGTATATAAAATATAAATTGTATAACTTTACGAATTTTACACTATATTTTTTGCTCATATAGAATATAATATATGTATATTATTTTTTGTCTATATCTTATATTTGATTAGATAAGCTCTGATGACTCTGGGTATCAGATTTCCATTCCAGACACTATTTCGTCCGTCAGTACACTGTCTGACCTTTTCGACGACGAAGACGATGAAGATGACACCAGCGGATATGCATCATTATAGCAGCCAAGTATTTATTTTAGTACTTACTACGTACTACTTATTACTTACTTGGTATAATTTTTTTTATGTAACTGCAATAGAATATCCATTTCATTTTTTTTCATTTTTTTTTTCATTTTCATGAAAATACCTATAAATTGTTTTGATTTTTCATGTTTATTCGTACCTATTACATCTGTTTTTAAATTGAAAATTTTTTTTTGTAATTTTAAATATTATTTATCGCATACTCTTGATTTTCTTAATATATTTTTTTTTATATTTTGGTATGTATATCTATCATTTATTTATACTTTTTACATTGTATGTACCTATATTGTTATATTATACTATATTGTGTTATAATATTATATTATTATACCTATACCGGCTATACCTAGTACCTACCTACTAGTTTTTGGCATGTGAATGTAATTGTTTGTATTATATACCTATTTATATTTTGATATGTAATTATATGTATTATTAAATTTAAATTTTTTATATTTGATGTATTATTTATGTAATATATATATATAAGATATTTAGATATTATACTATTTTATTCCTACCTTTGATATGTGAATGTAATTGTTTGTATTATATACCTATTTATATATATGTTTATAGTTTTTTTTTTATTCGTATATATTATATAATATTATTATATATTTATAATGTATATAAACATTGTTGTATATGACGCCCAAAAGAAATAAATTGTATTAATCGTCTACGCGCTGTGATTAAAATATTTTTTGTAAATCCATAAATATTTCACTGTCGTTGGATAGCAAAAAACGATGAACGCTAATATGCGTTGTGTCTTTATATAACTAGGTATGCCTATACATTTTTTGGATTACAAAATTACGTCGAATGTGACAAATCTGGCTGGTAACTCGTAATTCAAACTGAAATGGGCTCCTCATTTACCCACTATATACCTACATTATACTATATAACTACAATGGTGGAAAATTCAAGCAATAAAAGAACAAAATCTGTTTTTACCTCAAGTCAACGTTTGGTACTATAAATTGGTGGTTGTACTAGCAGATAATATACTAAAACACGTATACTCGTGATTAAAAAAGTCGTTAAGCAGTAATATGATATAGTAATATAATAATTTATCAAAATATTAAAATTGACTATATCTAATTCGATGCTCCGATTTACTACATTGATAATAATATAATAAATATAATCTCTATATAGATCTTATATACAATCAGACATCAGTGTTGTAAAGTATTTGAGTAAACGCATTCAAATACTTTTTTTTCAGTATTGAATACTTTTTTAAATACTTTTTTTTGTTATTTAAATTCTTAATTTGTTTTCATTTATAACTCTTGTTAAATAAAAATACCGTGCCATCGTGGTCATGATATAAACAACAAGGTATATGATCGAAACTTTTTGACGGTCAGATCCTTCGGTAAGCACTTGAAGTAGCGTAATGTATAGGTAAAGTAGTAATGATTGATTGACAATATGGTAATATGGATAAGTAAGTGACGTACTTATTCCAAATCTGGAATTTTACGATCATACCATGTTGCTTATATAATAATCGTGGTTATACTTCAACGTTATATATTCATCATTTATGGACAATTTGATATAGGTTTTCGTCAATTAGGTGTTTTTTTCCCCAGGAAATAGTTTATCATCCAATATAAATAAGGCTATGATTTGATTTATAACTACTTACCATTTCGGAATGCGAAAATATTATTACTAATTATTTGTACCTAGTATCTATTTACCAAGAAAATGGTTATCAATTATCATTATCGTTTATCGTCGACAAAGATCGATGACGGTATGGAATATCCAAATACATAATATAGCTTTAAAAATATATAACTAGGTTAGGAAAAAGTTCATTTTTGTGGTGCAACTATCACCAACAAAAAACTAACATGACTGATCAGTTTTTTGATTATTGAACGAATCATGCTTATAAAATGCAATAAATACATTTTGTACTATAACAAATTATTTCAGAACTAATGAGATTTTTTTTTGTATTTGAAGATTATTTCAAATACTTATGAAAAGTATTTGATTACTCAAATACTATTTTATTTTTCTAATATTTAATTATTAATTATATTATTAAATCATATTATTATTATTAATTTAGGTCAAAACTTACGCCAAATGTAAAAAATATTTGACAGTAAGATATTATTACTTTTAGCAATTTTAATATAGCAATAACAAAATGTTTTTCTTTTATACATTATAATAATTTAATTTAAAACAATATTCGGTAGTAATTTTTTCTTTTTTAAGTAAATAAAGTCAAATATACATACAACAATAATTGAAAAAAATTGCGAGTGTAGTTAAGGGTTAAATTACTATTAATTTGGGTGACTAAAAACTTCAATATATTTTGTTGAGATTTGCTACTTAACATAAACATTATCGGTTAACTCACGCAGCATGTTCATTAGGGGCCATATTATCCTAAATAAAAATATACTTCATAACATGAAAAAAAAGAAACTATAGCTTGTTTTTTGAAATAATCTCAACATTATTATAGCGTAACCAAAGTGCCTACGGGCTACGAAACAAATTTATTAAAACCTTATAAAATATTAAGAGTTTTGGCCAAATGGAAAACAAAACAATAAAAAAATTGTAAAAAAATGTACTTACTTAATTGTATGATTTTTTTTCATTCAACAAAATGTGTGAAGGAAAAATGGCCTTAAAGCAATAATCAATCACTGCAACAGTAAAAAACCTGATAAATAATAGGTAATAAGAAAAAATCGTGTGTGTGTGCAAGCAAGCGCGTATGAAGCGAAACTTTTTTCGAAGTTTTTAATGATACCTATCTAGCTTTTCTCAAATTGAACAATCTCGCAGGTAAGCGACTTGTAACTAATACGATTTTAGGTTCAAGTTCGTGATATAAAAAATAATTTATTTGTTTAATTCTTTCTGTTTATTATATATAGTTTTTTTTTTTACTCTCATTTCATTTTAAATTAATGTTGGACATAATTGTTTTTAAAGTTTCAAGTTAAAATCAAATTAGTCGCATAATTACCATTGGAATTATTTGATGTTGTACCATTACTGTATAAAATATGTAACAATATAATATATTATATGTTATTATAACCTTCAACCGTTTTGATATTTATAATTATTACTACATATATACATTACTAGCTGACCCGGCAAACGTTGTTTTGCCATATAAATAATTTCCTAGTAATTTCTAGTGTAGACAAAAAATAGCTTACTTATTGTAAGTATGTATGTATGATAGAATGTGTATATTGTATGTATGTAAGAATGTGGTATATGCGTGAAATAAGCATGGAGCGCTGTGAACGATGAGGGAATATAAAAATAACAAAAGGCAAACATTATTTTTAAGTTATATTATAATTTATTCCTTTAAATTATATATCATTAATTAAACAATTACGACAGTAACACTATTAAACAATATCAATCTCTTAATGCTATAGCGTGAACAATATTTTTTGTTAGTCCATCTTTAGCTAACACAAACAAACTGGATGGTTTACCCACTCGAGAGCATGCCACGTATAATTGTCCGTGTGAAAAACATGGTGTTCTCAAATCTAATCCACAAACAGACATCGTTTGACCTTGGGACTTGTTGATAGTCATTGCAAATGCCAATCTAATCGGAAACTGAATACGTTTGAATTGAATTGGCACATCTGTAGGTATAATAGGAATCCGTGGTATGAGTATATTTTCTCTTCAAATTACTAAAATGGCTATTAAAAAATAAGGGTTGATCGTAGAAGGGTGAAAATTGAGGATTGTATGTATTTTTGTATGTTGTATCATAAAAAAATAGAAATTAAAAATTTTGTCTAAAAAATAAAAAAAAAAATTTAGGGGTGGACAACCCCTAACATTTAGGGGGATGAAAAATAGATGTTGGCCGATTCTCATAGATACCGGATAAGCACAAAAAATTTCATCAAAATCGGTCAAGCCGTTTCGGAGGAGTATGGCAACGAAAACTGTGACACGAGAATTTTATATATTAGATTTTACAATTAATTAATTTATTGTGTATATATATTATATATATATATTAAAACGATGTTCCGTCTCACAATTTTACACTAATTATTTAATATCTAAATAGATGAAATTAATAGTATTAATTGGATTTCTATCATTTAAATGTTATTTATTTTTCGTTGAAATGAAAATTTAGTGCCGTGACCAATAGTCACTATTTCGTTTCAAATTTTTCGGTGTTGTACCCTCCGTGAAGAAGTTTCATTTCAACAGACGACGATTCGAACAAAATGCAAAATGCGTGTCTATTCTTTAGTGTCGAAAAAGATTACCTTGTATGAGTAACGAAAGTAAAAATGTAGTAAACCAAAATATTGTCATTTAAATAAATGGAAAATAAAATCATTTGCACATATTTTACTCTTCACTTATCATTCACTTTAAGTATGTTATGCCTATTACATGGTTTTAATACATATAATAGTATAACATAATAATATTTCCTTAAAATATGTGCGAAATATCTACACACACACATGACACATGTCACATATAACTATACTACAGTGTACTATACTACTATGTAATGTAATGTAATGTGTATGTTATTAAATATTCCTATCTTTCATCCTTCGGCTATCGAACATTGTCGGTAATGGTAATAATAATAATAAACAGAATGGGGAGACTACGAAGCACCGCACAAAACGGAGACCGAGAAACTTGGAGCTCGTTTTTCATAGCCGTTGCCTAATATTATTATACATCGTGAATTCGTGACGGATTTCCGTTCCGCTAGCTCGTGTGTCGTGGCCAAAAATCTTATTACCAGCGCGTGCTGAGGGATTTCATTTCAAAAATAGCAGCAGACAAGATACAACAAGCTAGGGGCAGTCAGGGGAGTTCCACTTGACGGCGAAATTATTAAGAAGGTCACTGGGTCACCTAAATACGTTCTACCGGTGGACGATTGCAGTCGCTAGCGCGTTTGTTGACGGCTAGCGACGGCCGCCTGAATGACGGGGCGGCAAAAATACTGAGCGATAGTAGACAGCTGCTATGGGCATTGAAGGATGCGGTGCCATAGGGCGAATAACAGGGAGAATCGGCGGACTCCTTTCACCATACTCTCTGTGATTTTCTTACTCGCATACCGTCGGTCGAGTCAGCATTGAGAAGTCACACATCGCCAAACAACGAAACGTTATTACTAATAAATTGTAAGTTTCCGCGGGTCTGACGTTGCTGACGTCCGTGTTCCTAGCTTAGCTCTGTGCCTCTGTTGCTCACCCGTCGTGCTCTGCAGTCGCCCGCGCCTATCTAAGCAGTGCTCTATATTATGTGTATGCATATAATATGTTGGCGTTAATGTATGAAATTCTGTAATGAAAGTATCAATAATTCTGATTTATTAGAATTATTAAATTATTCTGATTTATTAGAATTATTAAATTATTATCAATACAATTTGTATTTACAGCTATTAAATTATTATTATTTTTACAAATCGCAAATTATTTATAAGTACCTTTACGAACTTTTTGGATACCATTTAGTGATATGCTATTACGAGACGCTTGTCGTATGCGCAATACTATGCAATTTATATTTATACCATCGTAATTCAACGCGGTTATAAAGATTTTAGCATTATTCTTCTACTGCATGACATAATTTTTTTGTATTTATTTAGTCATGATCGACAATTCTTTTGAATAAAATTGACACAATAACGAATTTTTAAGATACTTTTCACAAGTGTTTTAATATTTATTTATTTGATTTTTATTTTTCCCAATTATTTTTATATTTATAATTAATGATAATGGAATGAATAACGAGACGATGACGAGCGTTGATAACATATAGCATTTTTTAATAATATACCTATTAATTATTTATAAGAATTTTTTTTCGTCATTAAAACCACTTTTGTACGAGAATAATAATATATACTGTCTAAAATCGAAATATAGTTGTGTAAAGTGGTAAAATCGGTAAAGTCCATACGACAAGATGGGCACCTTTTTTTTAATAAGCACACTTGTTACACTATACAACACTTAAAATGATCAAACTATCTTTGTATGTCGCTCAGTCGCTATATTCTGTCACAAGAATAAGTATAGTCTATGTCGAATGGTACAGTGGTTCAATATTATCATATCATATTATTTTTTATTGATGCAACAAAGGTGGATTAATATCAATCCACCTTGAATACAACGACAAAAAAATTAAAATGTGTTATCTACTTCAGTCCCGAATTGCATACATTAGCGAAAACCCAACTGGTATTCTATATAGTAACTCAGATATTTCCAAACAGGGTGCCGCGAACTTTATTTAGGGTGCCGTGAAATTATTTGAAAAATATTTTTTAAGAAAAAACGATTTTATGAAAAATATAGCACTATGAGTAATAAAACAGACTATAATATAAAACCTATTGTGTTTCATATAATTAGTAGAAATATTGGTGTTGTTAATAATTAACAGTGTAATTTATATACTAAGGAGCTTATTTAGGAATTTCATAGAAGGACTAGTTATTTAATGAAATAAGGTATCACAGACATTACCGCTAACATATTATATACAGAGTGATCACGATTTAAGGTAACACTAAATATTTCGGCCGGATGAAGTTGTATCGAAATGAATTTCAAGTGAAACTTAGGAGGCACTGAAATACTTATTTCGTGAAATTTTCAAATTTTAAACACTTACGGTAAGCGCGATGCTTAGTATAAAATGTATTCTTTTAAATTGTAACATCTATTTTTAACACAATATGATTTGGATTGAACGAATTTTATCAAGTCGATTTGACTCATAATAATATTATTGGCTCTAATTACTAAGTTGAATGAACATTGACAGCCATTAATACATTTTGGAAAAAAAAAGTTTGTACGTATAATTTATAATTTTATTTATTATCATAATAGATCATGCAGGTAAATTAAACATTTTTTTTTCAAAAGAATAATGGCTATCATTCGTTCAAGTTTGAACTTAGACCCAAGTATTATGAGTCAAATCGACTTGAAAAAAATTCAGTTAACCCATATCATGTGCTAAAAATAAGTATTACCATAAATAAAATACATTTTGCACTGCACACTATAAGTGTTAAAAATTTGAAAATTTCACAAAATATGTATTTCAGTACCTCTAGGTTCCCCCAAAATTTTTTTCAATAAAAGTTCATCCGGCTGAAATATTTAGTGTTACCTTAAATAGTGATCACACTGTATATGTGGCCCGCAAAGACGTAAATTGAGGAATTAATGTTAATGACAAGTCAATAACGATATTTCCGATCAAATTAGACAGTATACGATATTGACTAAGAAATATCGTCAATGTCCATTATTATCAGGTAATGATGCATTAAGAAATATTCCCTAGGGCCTAGGTTATGACAATAATTCTGGGCTGCTTCAGACATACCTAATCGTTAAAAATATTAAATCTTTTATATTTTGTTTGTTGGATTATAAATGACCTTGAGTTGTAAAATCGATGTATCGGGACTATCGGGTATAATCAGTACTAAGTACTAACAATAATGTACTATTATGGTGGGTGCGTTCGACATGGGCGCTTATTCACTTTCAGTGCTTACGCTTATCGTAAACGCTTTGAACCGTTCGTTTAGACTTATGCGCTCACAGGACAGGTAGGCCTCTAGACGAACGCGAATATTGGTTGCGTGAGCGTTGCGACGTTATCAGATCACTACGCCGGTTATCAGTTTTAATTAATTTATTTTTGTTTTTGAATTTACGATTTTTCTAAAACTTTTCCAAGTGTTGACGTTGACTTAATTTAAAAATGGATAAACGCAATTTACTAGTACTAGCTATACAACAAGTAGGAGATATCATATTTTCCTCATCGTCTGAGGAAAGTGACGATGATAGCCAAGTTTTAGAGCTGGCAGTGTGTGTGACTGATAGAAAAGACCTCGTACCACAGAATAACCAGAATGGACACACGCTGAGCACTCAAAAATCTGTTCAACTTTGTGGAATATCAGTGTATCCATGTATATAATAAAAATGTAAAATTCTTTATGTCTGGACACACTGATAAGGGTTTGTTTACTAACTTTCGACATCAGCTGTCCATATATCTGCGATTGTTTACAAAACATCAGTTTAACTTTTGCGCTCTTATTTGAAATTAATGTTTTAATTATTTTATTAATTAAGAAATTAAATCAAATTAATCGTAATTTTTGTTTTTTAAATGTATTCGGGAGGAAATAGATGTTGCTTGCTGTACTGCACCAGCATTTCTTCCTCAAAAATTGAAGGAACAAAATTCCATAGATTTCCGAAGGATCTTGCAAGGTAAGCAATATTAATTAGTTATTGGAAGTTAAATCAAAAAGCAAATTCATCAAATGCTATTTTATTTCTATGTGTATTATATTTAATATTATACATATATTTGTTTTAACCAAATTTAGATGTGACGTTTGGATTGAAAAATGTGGTCCAATAAATTTACCTTCTATTGAACCTATAGTTTTGTACAAAAACTATAGAATATGTTCCTTACATTTTGAGGATAAAATGTATATAAATGCTGAAAAGTCAAGGCTCTCAATTAACGCAATACCAACGTTGTTTAAAGGTAAGCATCATTATTCATTGTTTACTTGTATACCTAGTGTACACTGGCTAGCGTTGTGCAAAGCTGGTCACTACCTAATTAGAAAGTAAAAATTAAGTAATTTGTAATTATTATTTTTTTTTAACTAGGTAACATTGTAGAAAATGAAATATCATCCTTACATAATAGTGAAGAATTGATACCCTTAAATGACCAATTTGCAATTGACGACCCTCCATCTTGTTCGACACCTATTGCTTCTCAATCTTGTTCAATACTACGTATGTTACAGCTTATTTTAAATGTTTCTACTGTATTTGCAGATCAGCCTAATCCTATTATAATAATTAATAATCTATTATTCTTTGTTTTAGGTTCAATCAGTGTTGATTCATATGATTCATATTTATAATTAATATTATTAAATTTTGTGTCATATTTTACCATTTTATACAACTTTTTAGAATTAATTGACTAAAAAAATTACTAATATGTATAAAGGTATCTACCGTATAAGTACCTACTTAATATTATACAATACACATTTTTTATTTTTGTATATATGTACCTAGGTAGTTGTAACTTGTAAATATATTATATACATGTAATTGTAATAAATTTGTTTAAACCTACAATGTATTTTGAGATTTATTTGTTCAATGCACCTATGATCTAAAATATATATTTCATGATCTACACTTACCTATGCTAGACAAAAAATGTTATGTTATTAATTTAAAATATACATTTTATAATTCAAATAAAAATTAACTAACACAGAAATTGAAAAATCAGTTATTCACTTTACAGAGTACAGACTTCATATTTTGGAACATAAACACAAAAGACACTGAGGCGAGTAAGCAAGTTGCAAACTTGCAACTTACAACTTTATTACTTATTAGGTTAGGCTAAAGCACGATTATAAAGATTCTTTATAATCGTCGTTTAAGGTAATTACTAATTGCCTCTGTTCAGGGAATAACAGTCGCGCTAGAAACAAAGAATAATGGGAATTATCTTTCTACCGGCAGCACTGATATTCCACCAGGTGTTGCAAATCTGTGCCCCATAAGAACCCATGTTAAACTGAAAAGGTGTCTCTTCTGGTTATTCTGTGCTCGTACTTCGTATGCAAAACTATGTCGAAACTGTTATACCTGTTCGACGATGGACAGTTCAAGTCACACTTTAGGTACGTATACTATGGATATGGACCCGTATGCATGGTCAGTATTCAAAATCTGCAAAGGTGGGCAAAGTGGATGTCGGTCTGCTGTACAGTATGTTACAAGTGGGTCACTGTAATGGATGGTATTAAATTTGAGTTCAATAATATTATAATATCATTGCATTATTTGTATACGAAAAACGATTCTGATCGTGGTCAGCCTATAATATAATATAATATTACTATAGGTAGGCATATTTCATGATATTATTGTGATTAAATTAATTAATTTTAGTATATGGTATTAGTATCTAAAAATGATCATTGCTATAAATAGCTCAAAAAGTGTCAAAAAAAGTTTGAAAATTCCAATGGTCTACTGCAGTTAATTTGAGTTACACCAAAAAAATTAATTCGATTTTTTTCAAACATTGATTTTGTGTATAAATTACCACTTTTTCTAAACTTTTATGCTGTTTTTCTGGACGCTTTCTAAAATTACTTGGAATTTTCAATTTGGACTAGATTTAAGTACTTGATTCAATTTACCATCAGAAAAGATACTGATCTCGAAAATTGGAGCATTTTTATTACACAAATGAATGGTTGGTGACAGACAGAAAAAAAAACATCATTATAAAATCAGTACATTCATCGCTCCTCTCCGAATCTAAAATGTTAATATAAAAATAACTCATAAGCGAGATTTTCAAAACTTCGAAATTTTCCATTTTCATTCGTGTTTTTTGTATACGTTTTAATTTCATATTTTGACGAAATTACAAATAACGGTTTTAGTTATTTTGTTATAATTTAAAAATATTATTCGTGGGTACGATTTTAAGAGAAACTTTAAGTTACAGTAATCCCATAAGTATGACTGTGCAACATAATTCTAAGGGACTGTGCTTACGTGACACTTACTGTAAATTACAAGTAATAGGTAACTTATTTATGAAATTGTCTGTGTTATATTAATGCATATTATATCATTTTTAGAATGCTTCCATCGATATTTGAATTTATACTTTAAATGATTACTCCTAAATTGACTAGGCATAAGCCTAGCTATCCGACTATACCACCAAAAAAACAGTTTCTTATTGCTATATGGAAAATGGCCACTCCAGATTCTTATAGGTACATACTCTTTATATATATATTTTCAACCCCTAAACATACAAACAAGGTTAGGTGTTTATAATTATAAAATTCAAAAGACTAATATATAAGTAACAGACAACAAATATTAGTTATGGTTTGCTATTTATTATTTTATAGGTCAATTTGTGAAAAATTTGATGTTAGCCGATCATCTGCATTGAAGGCTGTAAGAAGAGTCACCCATTCTTTAGCAAATTTAGCTCCACATTTTATTGTTTGGCCAGACACAGATAGAACTTCAGTAGTTAAAAATGGGTTTTCATCTACAAGTTCTTTTCTTGGTGTTATAGGAGCAATTGATGGAACTCATTTAAATATACGTGCACTACACAAACATCCAGAAACTTATGTCAATAGAAAAGACCATCATTCTATTCAATTACAAGTATTTTATCTTATATTTTATTATTATTGTAAATCATTGATTATATATTATGTATGATGATTTGTTTTCTTTCATAAAGGCTGTTTGTGATCACCAGTGTCGCTATATACATTGTTTCGTTGGAAATGTTGGATCAGTACACGATCAAAGAGTATTTCGGCTTTCTGAAGTGTATAATTATATAGATGATCCATCAAAATTTCCAAATGATGGCCATATAATCGGTGATGCTGCATATACAAACCATGAACACCTTGTACCGAATCGTAACACTGGTCATTTGACTGAGAAACAAAAAAATTTTAACTTCTGTCACTGTTCAGCTCGGATGGCCATTGAGCAATCATTTGGTTTACTGAAAAGCAGGTTTCGAAGTCTGCTTACGACACTTGACATGGAGCGCATCGACTTAATACCGACATTTATATTATCATGCTGTGTATTACATAATATTTGTTTGATGCAAGGAGATGAACTTTCGAATTCCTTGATACCACAACAAATATTTTCAGAAGAAACAAATAATATTGAATTTAGAGAATGTGTATCAAACCGTATAGATTTATTAAAGCGTGACTCAATTTGTGAACAATTAAAATATTAAATATTAGAATTGTATAATTTGAACATGGATGGTTAGTGTAATAAATTATAATAAGTGCTATATAATACAGCATGTAACTGTTAAATAATAAAGTATAATAATTAACAATCACTATTAATTATTTGTATAAAAAATTTAATTTAAAATATTGGTTTAGTAAATAGTAACATTATATTTGTTCATAGCTAAACATAGGTTAACCTATGAGTTAGATTGTTGGTAAAACTTGCAGAATTTGATTATTATTTTAATTTTAAAAGATAATTTGTGTTATAGAACCATACATAAGATACATTAATTACTGGTTTGAGTCTTAAATCAATCATACCAATGTTTACTTATAACTTATAAGTAATATTAAACTGAATAATTAGGAAAAGCAATATAGAGATCAACATGGATGTATCATTTATTTATCAACATAAATGATAATATTATATAACAACAACTGTATTAAGTAACATAAAATAAAATACATAGCTCTTTGTATATCAGTATAAAATAATATACTTACAACACTTACAACTTAATAAATAGGAAAAGCATTATAATCTAGAGATCAATATTACTTCTCTAAAGCCGTAACTTATCTTGATAATAAATCATGAGCCTCTTTCTTTTGTTCCATTTTTTCCCTATGTCTTCTTTCCCTGTTTTCTTCATCTATTGTTTTATTTTGTCGAATAGCTAAAACAACTTTATCCACAGTTGGTATTTGTCTTAATTTTTTTCTCGGCAGTTCACAGCTTAATGTTTCAGAAGCAACATTTGAAACTGTTTCATTATTTGTTGCATAATTTTTAACACCTGTGAAAGAAACAGTAGCAATTGGTTTCATATATGGTTTTGTTCTAATAATAGAGTCCATAATATTAAAATACATCCATGTTCTAGGACCATTTCCCAATTTATTATTATAATCTTTGATCGATTTGTAGGTTCTCTTTAAGCCTGAAAATTTGCTAAGACACTGAGGTCCAGTGACAACATATCCTTTTGTTAAAAGTGAATCAGATACTGCTTGCCATGTTTTTTTTCTGGGAAACTTTTCCAGAACAAAAATCATCTGCTCTTTTCCGATAGGTACTCTTCAATCAGTAAAAGAATGGCTTCATTTGGCCATTTAAATGCACCAGTTACTTCATTATCATCACTAGTAGTAGATCGTAGATTCATAGTAGATTCATCATTTGACACATTCATATTGTTTATAATAGTGTTGGCTTTTAGGTAAGCTATTTTTTCCAATAAATATGTTTGATCTGTAAGTACAGAAATAAAGTTTAGAAAGTAACTAAAGAAAGATGCATAGATTTTATATCATTGAATTCAAATTGAACACATCCAGTACAGTGACTCCCTAGATAACCAATGTACAGCAGAGAGTTACCCACTAACAAATTATGTACCTGCTATAAAGATATACGAACACAACAACAAAATTGTAGATCACCAACTATATACATAATAAATTGAACTTAAATTTGAGTCAATAACTGATCATTTAAACCTAAATAATTAACTTAGTTAATTTGGGCAAATAGACAGCAAATATGTGTCTATGTAATATAACTGATCATACTGTTCACTGATTTTTCTCTAGTATAACAAAACCAAGTACCTATTATTAATATAATTAATTACCACTATTTCCACGATCAATTTCTTCAGCCGTCATCATGCACGTATATTCAACACCGGAATCTTCGTCTATAAACGTCACTTCTATTTCTGGTTCAGACATTTTGAGTAAAAGTATAAAAATGTAGGTATAAACAAATAACAGCTAAAAAATTTAATATATTAAAAACGTATTAATAGTTGTGAACTTGGTTATCGTCAAATTAATCTTGTTCTCTTATCATTTCACATTTGAGCGTTCGTCTTGGGAAATAGCGCTCACGCTTTCACTGCACTACCTCGATTTGTTAAGCGACCGTGAGCGTCAACTCATGACGTACCACCTATTTTCCGTGACGTCACGGTTGTAGTCTGAGCGTTTCAAAGCGCCAAGACGAACGACGCGGCAGCGCTTATATAAGCGCTTAAAGCGCCCATGTCGATGGTCGTACATAAGGTACTAGGTAGATACTAGGTACCTATTAAGTAAAATATAGCCCTCTATCGGTTACATACTTACATGTTACATCTGATGTCTTAATAGTAGGTGCATATACTCTATAAACCTTGACACAGTGGCGGCGCCAGGGACGGGCCAGGTAGGGCCATGGCCCTACCTGAAAATGCCTGGCCCTACCACTGACCTGGCCTTAGACATAATTAACAAAATAACAAATGAGTTAGATAAGAGATTCGGTGATAATTCTGATATTATCTGAGCGGTATAAGTGCTCTTAATCCAGAATCAATAATATTTTTAACATATGACACTATACTTCCTTTTTCTAAAGCTTATTTAGGTGACATAGAATGCCTAAAATCAGAATTAAAAATATTACATAAGTCCATGAACCGCTATGAAACAAAAAATAATTTAAAAATTAAAGATGTTTTCCAATTTCATAACTTTCTTAAGGAATATGAAATAGCATTTTCGGAAAAATATAAATTATGCTCCATTGCTATAACAATACCCGTGTCATCAGCTGCGTGTGAACGTACATTTTCATGCATGAAACGCATAAAGAGTTACTTAAGAAATTAGACACTAATCTTACAAGTTTAAGCATTATATCTATTGAAAAACGTGAAGCTAAGTCACTAGACATTGATGAAATAATAAAGAAGTTTGCAGATGCACATAGCAATCGTAAAATTATTTTAAAGTAGTTTTGTTATAGTGTTGTAATCGATAATCATTTAAAGTTTTTAAATATAGTAATTAGCTCATTTTAATTGTTTTTTTAAATATTATTTATTTATTGTTAAAATCTCATTTTTTGGAGGCCCTACCTTATAATTGATGGCCTCCCATTGGCCTTACCTAGCAAAAAATCCTGGTGCCGCCACTGCCTTGACAACTTATCTGTTATATCATTTGTAATTTGTTTTTATTGCTAAGCATGTATTTATAGACTATAGATCCAACTTCACATTCAGTGCAAATTACTGTTAACGTTTTGTTCAGACATCGATGAAAGTGAGTTCATACATTTTTGTTTAATTTTTGTTATGGAGATTGGAGAAATTAAAAAAAAATTAAAAAATGCAATTTTTTCATACATTAATGAGAAAAAACTGGCAGGTATATTTGATTACCTAGTTACATTATTAATGCATGAATAAAAAAACAAAAACACAACTAAAATATTTAAATAATTTATAACTTTTAGATTATTCTTTTTTAAGATATCAATATTGAAATCACTACAAATAGTATGGTTTTTGAATACAGAACTCTGTGTCAAATAATAATTTAAAGAAGATAAAAAAGAATCATATTTTGAATATTTTGATCTATAACAGCCAGTAACAATAAACCTAGGTATTCTATAACATTTAAATAAAAATATATTTCAATGAAATCAACAGTAGACATGAAGTTAGTAGAAACATTCTTAACTTGATACCTATACTTAATGAAAAGAGTTATACCGTCCGAGGTCCGACATATTATTTACACCAATAGAAAATTAAAAGATTGATAACCATTAATAATAAAATCTACATATTTTAAAAGCCAAGTGTCATACAAAACAATAATACAAAACTTGATATCATTATTCATTAATTAATGTAGATCACATACAATAACCAGAATTACACTTCCTATTCGAACAGCTTAAGAGAAAAGATATCAGTTTCAGAAGAAATCTTTTTAACATTTGAATTACTATCTTTACAAACTAGAATATCAGCATCATTATTTAACCACAAAAATGAATAACCTTTTTCTTTAGCAGCAGTTCTTGTTTTTTTATACAAATGTCTTTTATACTTAGTAAGATTTATATTAATATACATAAAACATGTGTTTTTCTTTCGGCCACTTTGAGTTCATATAAGATAAAACAAAAGTCTTATTGTATCGTAATGGAAATAAAAGTAAAATTAATAATCAACAATATCAAAAGCACTTATTCCAGGCGTTAGACTTGAAGTAAGAGGACATATAAATAACATAGAAATATAGAATCATCTTTAATATTTGATTCTGGTGTTATTAATAGTGAACAAGTAATCAAGTCAACTAACCCCTTAATTGAAACGAAAAATATTAAAGTTCATACAGCTAATGGCTCAATTTTAAAAGTAATAGGTATTTAAAATGGAAATTGATATAACATTTAAAAGTTTGATTTTCCCAACCCGATTTGTATTAGTTTTAAATCTTGCCAACCAACATTACTTGGTACAGACCTTTTTATGGTGACCGATAATTATGAGGCACACATCATATGACTTTGACGACTTTTGTGATACTAAATAAAATTAAAATATCTTAAATCGAATGGGATTTCAATATATGTTTTGATAGAACGAACAAAGGGACTACTTTTTTACTTCTCATTCCTATTTTCCATTGGATAGAATATACTATAGAACATATGCGTGAGCGATTGATGACAATGTTAATACTTACAATACATTAAACTTTTTATCACAGATAATTTTCAGAATAAGAAACAAAACGAGAGCAACAATGTTATGAATCGAATTCTTAAACAGCTGTTCTAACAGCTATACTATAATACCGTTTTTCTTTTGTATTTTTATTATATACCTACTTTACAATTTTTTTTTACTAACAAAAAGTTTTTATTTAATTACTATGTTATGTAAATCCTGAGAGCTACTATTGCTCTAAACATTTTTTAACCCAAATCTATAGAATAAAATTTAAAACATGTCAATTTTAATCACAAAAAAAATATCTTTGGTAACGTTTTTCAATGGATATGTAAACATTTATAAGTAAATATAATTCTAATATTTGTGGAATGTATAGGTATGTATATACATCATACATGTAATTTAGCTATTTTCAAAAATAATATAAAAACGACATGACCACTAATAAGCAACTTAAATCAAAATAATTGAAATATAACTGTGATATACCCTAAAAAAATAAAAGAGGGATATTCCGACAAGACTATTTCATTTACTGAGAAGAACAGAATAGTTGTCCACTGTCCAAAATAGCCAAGGTGTAACAAGTGTTTACTAACATACCTTTGATTATGGTTTTTATGATTTATTTTCAAAGTAAACCTGAGGGCAAATTTTAAATGGCGAAGGAGGTAACTGTTACGATTTACAGATTACTGATGTACAATTACTGATTACATTTATGTCGTGCTCGGTGAATTTGCTTAGGTAAACAGAACACAGGAACATAGAGTACGATAATATGAATAATTTGCACTGCCAACCAGTTGAGTTAGAATTGTGAAGTAGAGACTCTTCGTCTCTGCATTTTTAAGTAACATTATTAATTTGATTAAATATAGGTATAATAACCTACCTCATAGATAAATCATAATAATTTAATTGTTCAATTGTGTTAATCTATAAATGTAGGTCTTAAGTTCCTAGAACCTGTAAAATATAACTTAGAAAAGTTTATTTCTATAGATTCAAAAACAGCTGGTTCTCAAGATCGGTTGGCTTAGTGAGAATAGCTAACCAACTACTTCTTAATTTGATAGAATTAGGTATAAATATCAACAGCTACTTTTTTTTTTTAGAAAAAAAAATTTGCTATAGAAAATTAACACATTTTAACAATTTAACAATAATAATAATATAATATAATATATATATATATAATTATTATATTGTTTATCAACCTCCTGTAAGCATCAGGCTTGTGTTGGAGGTTGAGAGTTGCATATGTGGATAAACTTAGATAGTATAATATAATTTGTAAAACAGCAATTAAATACAAATTAAATAAAAGACATATAAGTACATAAAACATTAATAATTATTGGTTATAAATACCAAAATAAGAAATATGTCTAGATCACATGAAAAACATAAGATATGGGTGCTATATCAAGTAAACATCAATATAAAAATATATTTAAATACATTATAAATATAAAAAATAGATATGTAAAAATAATATATATGTAAAATATATAAAACTATTTATGCTGTTATGACATTTTCACGAGATAGACTTCATAAGCAATTGATAAAATTATCAAAATATGTCCCAATTTAAAAAGTTTAAAAAGTCCTGAGGGTTTGAGTGAAACAAATTTATTAAGTGATCAAAATAGAAGAAAACCGATAGAAAAAAAATTAAGTTAAGTTCCAACACTCTCGAATGAAGGAGAAAAAATGAAACTTACACCAGTTGAAGATATTAATGTTACAAAAAAATTAATCATCAGATTTGGCTCTGCTCAACTAAAAAAAAAAAGCAGCCATACAACTCAAATCTCAAAACCTTCCATAAGAGAAACTAATGCAATAGTATCTGGGTTTGAAGATATTAATAGTGAGAGTGCTCATGTTCACTGTTCATTTGATCATTCATATTTCATATGATACAATTTAAACAATACCATGTAGTAAGTACTAATATATGTTAATACTTGTACATAAATAATGATTTACAAATTTGACGGTGGTATCATTCATATGATACAATTTAATTACCAATTATCAATTAAACTAGTAAGTAGTAGAAAATACTAAATACTAATTAATGTTAATACTCATATTATTTAATACATAAATTATATTTTTCAAATTTGATGGTAGTCGGGTAGTATCATTAAGTCTATGATAACAGATATGACATATATATTTTGATAAAACTATTAAGTGATAACACATCCAAAAATTTGAAGGAAATCTGCAATAGTGCAATGCCACCATAGACATAATAGGTTATTTAATTGTCAGAATTCAAAATATTATGTCTACGAAATATGAATGAGACACTCTACACTCGTAATGAGAATATGAGATGCTCGTGTTGGTACGGGGCATGGGCTGGCATTCAGTTGCATAGTAGTTCCTCGTATTGCTTAATCCATGAAATTTTAGAGAAATGTCCGCGATAGTAACTTGTTTACGATGATAAAATTATCAATAATATTAGTGGTCTAGCTGGTTGGTTTTTGTTCAACACTCTAACCTTATTATTCTTGTTTAATATGCATCTTCCTGCCGGCGTCCGTTGTGTTTCGCTGAATTAGTATCGCTCCTTGCTGTAAGTATAAATTTTTTTCATCAAAATCCTTATGACCACACGCATTATAGTTATATGATAGGTATATCGATGTTGTAATAAAAACCATACATAAACGATTGACCTCTAGTAATATTTGTGCGGTCTTGTCCACTAAGATCATACCGCACACAAGGTAAGCCGTGTGTCTCTTTGCAATCTGAAAAAATATAATATTTTTATTTTCCTCGAGAATGACAGTTATTGTGTCTTATTGTTAATCATTAGTTTCGAGTAACTGTTTTGATCGATCGTCTTGAAAAATACTTGAGACGCTTTTGATAAATCCTTAGCTTCTGACTATGAATCATAATATTGTTGATAATAAATACTATAATAAGTAGTAGTAGTCTAGTACTATAATATTTATTATCCTTTAGTGGTCTTGCGACTACAGGTGTTGTTGAAAGGCAGAGGATGAGGTGTACTATCCACATGAATGCTAAGACCGTCGAATGTTGTATGATTTGATGATATATTTCAATTTAAATATTTTAATGACAACTGGTGAAATATTACGCTGTATTAAAATATCTGACTCAGAAAATTATTCGATGTGTTTAGAAATAATTTGCCTGACTCGAGTATTTTCTTACTCTAAAATAATAAAATCAAATGACAGACTGTCGTGAAGGTGCTCTAGCTCATCTGGTCAAATCACAAATGTACATGGGTTATTAGGGCTCTCCTATATAGGCCTACTCTCTACTTCTCCTAGCCCCCTCAATACGAGTATCTTTCCCACGGATGCTGCAGCTGTCTGTAGTATTCTCGGAAATGCCTATGGCCTGTACCTCGATGCGAGTGCGCATCCTGTGTAATTGCATTTTTGATTACCTACTGCGTATAGTGTTATAAAGTACTATTATAACTGCATTTATTACTTATTATTAGGGCTAGGGACTTCATGCCCTTAAAAACCTTAAAATATGCATGCATTTATGCCCTAAAGAATCAATAAATATGCTATTAAAAATATGCATTTAAAAAAAATGATATTCTTTTACAAAATCGTTAAGCCGATCATAAGGTTTTGGTTTAGGCATTTTTTATTATTTTATTATGGGCTCACTCGAAAGAAAAAAACACTTCACGACACCAAAATGCGAAGAACGCACGACACCAACTGTCAACTCTTGCTATTCTGGGGATCGTTTGGCCTCTATCTACAACCAGTCATAGTTTTTTTGGTATCATTATCGGCTTATCGCCTATCGGGAATCACGAGTGTGGTATACCGATAAATAACAATACAGTTATAATGATAGGCAAGAAAAACGCAAACATTAATTTTTGAATATTTATATCCCGTCCAGGAAATCTATTTAAAATACGATTTTTTTATAAAACTAAAAACTCACTTCTCGTATAAATAATGTTGTCAAACATGCACTAATAAAATGAAAAATGGTCAAATATGCACTTATAAATGAAATATGGTCAAATATGCAAAATATGCAACTATAAATTTTAAATATAAACTTGTAATGCTATGAAACAAATTTCTATTTTACTTAGCTATGTTTTTAATGATTATTTAAAAACATGCAAACTCCTAGAAGTCCCGAGCCCTACTTATTATGTTCCATATTTAATTATAAATAACCAGTGTCCCAATGGCTTGTTATTTTTGATACACCCCTGTAACTGTAGCATTATCAAGTAGTATTAAAAACTGTTCTTTTGAATCTTTTTCCCGTAGTTGAAGCACTATAATCATCACCCTACTTTATTACTTAGACCTGTTCTCCTTGGATACTTATTTATTATTGCACTTGGCCTACCCTCTTGGTTATTTGGTTGCGTAGGAATGTACTGTCGGTTATACTATAATTAGGTTAACGTTTGAAGCCAGTACATAACACAATTTATCCATCTTATATTATCAAGAGTTGGAAAAACAGTTTTTATTAAAAAATACACATCATTTCCCATTAAACGTGTTTTTACTAAAACTTGAATTTAAGTTTTATCTGAAATGAACTATAGGGAATATTAAAATTGAATTAACTCAAATAATATTTTATATTTCACTATGAATTTTGAAGTGCCACTAATAGGTTGATTATCATTTTCATTTTTTTCCTGCTCACACATTTTTATTGTACTGAATAAACGAAGATTGCTTATTACTTTTAAAAATAAATAATATATATGTAATGTTGTGAGGTAATGACAAAACTTAATTATTTATCTTTAGGCGTTTCTTTATTTTTACATTTTACAATAACACTTTATACTTGCGAACAGAACATAATGAATGAATAAATCATCATAAAAGTGAGGTTAACTTAAATATTAATTGTAATAAAATGTTGCCAATATCATAACAATCCTTAATCCTAATTTTAAAACATCATTTAGCAAACATAATATTGTTACAAACTTCAATATAAATATTTTTTAAATAATCATATACTTAATATTAACAAACAATTTCTTTTCTTATTTAATAATACATTTATTACTTATTATTTTTCATTTATTACAAATCTAAACGTTTGGGTGACTTTTTGTCTCCAACAGGCCTAACGTTTTTTGTTTCACTTCTGGTAGACTTAATTCATTATTAATATTAACATCTGTAATATTTTGTTTCCCTTTTTCATCTTCACTAGCTTCCTTAATTTCTAGCTCTTGTGTGTTTTTTTTATCTTTCTTCTTTTCTTTAATTTTCTCTACAAACTCTTTTTCATAGTTTTTTTTATTGTCATTATACTTTTAAATTCTTCCAACTTAATTATATCATTTATATGCCTTCTCTATACTAATTCTTTATTCTCAAGTCTAACTATATAATTTCTGCTGCTTAACACTTCTTCTATCATTGCTTTTTCCCAATTTTTTTTATTTGGATTAGAAAAATCTCTTTCATAAGCTATATCTCCTTCATTGAAAACTTCATTTCTAATTTTTTTTTTTTTATAACTGTATTTTTCTTTATTTTTGAATGTCTTAGAAAATCTAAACTAGATTTTAATTTTTGCCCAAACATTAGTTTTGCTGAACATTCATTGGTTGTCCATTGTGGTGAGTTTCTATACTTGAATAAATATCTGTTTATTAATGCGCTCACAGTTACATTTTTAATTTTTTAAATTTTTTAGTGCCTTCTGTATCCCTCTTTTAAAGATTTAACTGCATTTTTAGCTGCACCATTTGTAGCAGGATGAAAAGGTGGTGATGTATAAAATATAATTCTATTTTGTTTACAAAATTCTATGAATTCACTAGAACGAAACTGTGGACCATTATCATAAATAATTTTATCTGGTAATCCAAAACGTCCAAAAATTTCCCACAATTTATCAATTGAATAAACACTATTCATTTTACTCATTTCTATAATTTCAGGTCACTTTGTAAATGCAACAATCCATACTTTTATATAATTTTTGTTATTTAATACAAAAAATCTTACTGAACTCTGTCTAAAGGACTTACGGCTTCTGCCCACTTAGCTTGTCTATCTACTACTGGACTAGATTGACATGATATACAGACTTCACAACTTTTTACATAGCTTTCTATTTTTTTGTCAAGTCCAGGCCACCAAAAATAAGATCTGGTCACTGCTTTCATTTTTGCAATACCTGCATGTGTGCTATGTGTCTCTTTTAATAAAAATATTCTCAACTTATCTGGAATAATTACCCTACAGCCCCACATAATCACACCTTTTTCAATATTTAGTTCACTTTTTCTAATAAAATAACCTTTATATTCTAATTCTACTTTTTCTGCCCCATCCTTCTTCAATCCAACTACAAACTTTACTTAATATTTTATCTTTCAATGTCTTTATTTTAACCATTGATAAATCTAAAGGTATCATTCCTTCCACAAAATCTATATAACTACTCATTATCATTTTCATCATTTTTTATTTCTAATGGTAAACGAGACAAACAATTATTTTTGCCTTGCACATATTTTAATTCATAGTTGAATTTTGACAAAAATAAAGCCCAACGTTGTAATCTGTTTGATGCCATACGTGGAATGCCATTATGTTCCCCAAATAATGCTTAGAATGGTTTGTGATCCGAACATAAAATGAACTTCCTGCCTAATAAATATTGTGAACAATTTTTTACACTCCAAAAAATAGCTAGAGCTTCTTTTTGTGTTACAGCATATTTTTGTTCAGCTGCACATGAACTAAGACAGCACCTATACCATACTCAGAAGCATTACACAGTAGTTTTACTTGTATTTCCGGATTAAAATGTACTAACACCGAATCTGATGTCTTTGCTTCTTTGGACTTATTAAAAGCTTCATTACATTGGTTTGTCCACTTAAACGTTACATTTTTTTTTAACAACTTATACATAGGACCCAACGTTGTAGACAAGTTTGGAATAAATTTTGCATAGTAATTATTCATACCAACAAAAGCTCTTACCTCTGTCACATTTTGTGATATTCTTGCTTTAACTATAGCTTTTACTTTTTCTATGTCTTTTTTCATTCCTTCACCATCAATCACATGTCCTAAATAATTTACTTGCTTTTGAAAAAAACAACATTTATTTACATTTAGTTTAAAATCTGCATCTAGTAATCTTTAAAAAACTTCTCTTAAATTGTTTAAATGATCCTCATCATCCACTCCTGTTACAATGATATCATCCAAAAAGTTCTTTACACCTTAAAAACCTTGTAGTACTTTTTCGATTACTCGCTGAAAAATTGAACAAGCTGGTTTTGTTCCAGACAGCAATCTCTTTACTTTATATATACCTTTGTGGGTACTCCATGCTAATAACTTTTGAGTATTTTTACATATTTCAAGTTGATTATAAGCATTTATAAAATCTAACTTGCTAAAATATTTTCCTCCTTGCAAAGCTACAAACAGTTCTTCGACTTTTGGTAATGGGTAGTTTTAATTTTCTAAATGCTTGTTTATAGTTGTCTTATAATCTGCACATAATCTTACTGTACGATTTGGCTTTATCACAGGCACTAAAGGTGTACCCCACTGGGCATTTTCCACTTTTTCTAAACGTTCAAGTTCACTTTCAACTTTTTCAATATGCGCGAATGGAATAGACCTGGGCTTACAAAAAACTGGCATAACTTCTTCTTTTATTTTTAAGATAATTTTCTGTTGTTTATACTTTCCTAATTTACTTTCGAACAATTCCTTAAATTCTTTTAACAATTTTTGAATACCAAAATATAAATTATTTACTGTGATATTTGATACATTTACCAATTGTTTATCAAATAAACTCATTAAATCTCTTCCCAATAGAGCTCTACATCCATTTTCTACTATTAGTAAATTACACTGTTCTTTCTTATTCTCATACTCCATATCAACCATAACCTCTCCAACTGGATTTATTATTCCACCATTGTAAGTTTTTAATTTAATTAAACTGAGAATGACTTCTAATTCAGACCCGAGTTCAGACCAATATTTGTTGTATAATTTAAAAGGTATTATAGATCTCCCTGCCCCAGAGTCTAACTCCAAGTCTATGTTTATTTTTTCAATTTCAATTTTTGCAAAATATGGTTTCACACTCTTTTGATAACCTACTTTTAATTGAAACATTTCTATTGATTCTGACTCAGTTTTTACTTCTACATAGTGGTCTTTGGATTTATTTTTACACATTTTAGCTAAATGTCCTACTTTATTACAAATTTTACATTTATAAGTTTATACTTACAATTACTAAACATATGATTACTTAAGCCACATGTAAGACATTTTCCTTGACCTGATCCTTTACTGTTGTCTGAAAATACTGTTGGTTTCTTCTTATTTCGCATTTGCCTATTTTAAGGTGCTCCAACTTTTTTCTGGACATCCTTTGCTCCTCTCCATTTTTAAATTTTTTGCACTTTCACTGGAACAATTGGTTGTATAGCATTGCTAATTCTACAATTTTGTTTAGCTCTTTAGATATATCTTCTTCGCATAAATGGTCTTTAATTTGTCCATTTCTCATACCCATTATAAACTTGTCTCTAAGAACATCAATTAGTCCTTGTCCAAATTTACATATTGTTGCTAAATTTTTTATTCTTGCATACCAATCCTTCACATTTTCATTTGAATTTTGTCTTAAAGTATAAAATTCTTCTCGCTGTCTAGAGACTGATACTTAAGGAGAGAACCGCCTATCTAATACAGCACATAATTCTTTATATGGTCTTTTGGATGGTATTATGGGGTCACACAAATCTTTAAGTGTCTTGTAAGTTTTTTCCCCAATACATGTAATTAACAATAGTACTTTGAGTTCCTCCTGTATTGTGTAACTAAGAAAAATTGTTCCATTCTTTCTTGATAAATTGACCAATTTCCATCCATTTGGAACTCCGCCAATGATCTGATCACACCCTTCATCTTTTGGTTATGTTCACCTTGAACTACCTTTTTAGTTTTTACTGCAGGTAGTACGTCACATTGACGATCGTCTGGTTTTCAGACTCTTGTTCGTTACAGCCTTTTATTAGTTTGATGATTTGTGTTTGAACGCTTCATATTTGTTTTATATCTTCGTCACCATTTGTAATGTCGTGAGGTAATGACAAAACTTAATTATTTATCTTTATGTCTTTCTTTCTTTTTTCATTTTACAATAACACATATATTTGTGAACAGAACACAATGAATGAATAAATCATCATAAAAGTGAGGTTAACATAAATATTAATTGCAATATAATGTTGCCAATATCATAACAATATACATGGTGCAAATGTACGTCTAAGTATTCTTTAAAGTGTGTTCCACATAAGCCAACCAAATGTGTACTTTGGTTTTTGAAATATTAGTAGGTACCTATGTTCTAAAATCAAATTTCTAAGACTCTCCAGCTAAAAAAATTATTTCTAAATAAATTAACAATATTTTTTATCAGTCATCCCACATTTACACTAAGATGATTATTAACACATTTTATTGACCCCAAATAAAACAAGATAATGTGGTACTTAGTCCATAAATTCTGTTTTAGTACCTGTCTGGTCTATTTAGAATTTATTTATCATACACCTAGAAAATTATAAAACTTATAGATAACAATGTAAAACTCAAGTCTCCATTTATTAATTTTTGAGTTACAATAATAAAACAAGAATTGTTGTATTTTTTTTAAATATCCAATTTTGTCAAAATTTAAGATTGTCATATCAAAATAAAAAAATTAATATTTGCGGTATTTTCAATATTTTTAAAATGCTATAAGTAAAAATATGTGTAATCTTGTTCTAAATTTTCAAGCTGTTACCGAGTATAAATATTTTTATTAATATTTTTATAATTATTCATTTTTTTATATAAAGGTACCTAACTAAGTTAAGTTACATTTATTTTCTTGTGAACATGCAACTTTTACAAGTTTGTAAAAAAAGAAAAGTGACTTTTAGCTTCAAATTTAACTTACATTTTCTGTATCAACTTAACTTTACGAGTTTTAAAAAATTAGTTAGCTTGCCCCTAGACTCGCCTCTAAGCATGTGTATTCAATAGGCATCAATTTTTTTTGTATCTAGATAGCCTACAATATTGAAAAACTTGGTTTTTGTCAATATCTTTTTTTAGGATTAATGTGGTGCAAAATTACCTGTTTTGGATTTTTTTAAACATCTTATTAAAATGAAAAATAAAATATTTTATTATTTTATAAATTATAAATTATACTATTTTCTTTTAATTTGTCTAAAATATTTTTGTCACTTGTACTTAAATAGAAAGCATTCCGTGCTTGTACTGAAATAGCTTCTTCTAAATATATTTATCATAATTATTCATAAGGGCTACTATTATGTTATAATATACTCATTAATATGTTTCCAAGAAGACAATTTGAACATTATTTTGTTATTAACTATCACTTTATATTTGTGCTAAATAATTTTTAAGCATAATTTTAATGAGTATTTTTCTTTTCAGATTAGTTACATTTATCAAGTAATTTACATTTTTTAAAGACAAAACTAAAAGGACCAATAGGAAAAAAAATGGATCATATTATTCAGTATAATACAACAATGAGTACTAATCTTAGTGGATCAGCTTTTGATACTATTTTATATAATATCAAAATGGAATATGAATCACTTTTTAATGATGAATCAAGTGATTTAGAAGATTCTGGCAGTATAGATTATAAGTTTTTTCATAGTATAGATAAAAAACAACGAGATGAAATGTGTGAATTTGCCTCTACGTCTTCTGAAATGGATGTCTATGTTTCAGAATCAAATTTACTGGTAACTACCTTAATGTATTTTATTTACTTTAAATATATAACATTACTTTATTTAATTATATTTACTATACATACCTATTTTTTATACATTTTTTCTAATACAATTTTGAACACTGTTTTTTTACACAGGGACTTTCAGATACAGAATTAGTTGACGGTAAGCCTTATTTATAAATGATGATATTTTCTTTTCTTTAACAATCATTTTGGTCTCTTAGCAGCTTCCACTAAACTTTCACCTATCCCTGTTAAGGCCTTAGAGAGTTCTCCAATTTTTCCAACTTATTAATAACTCTGATATCCTGCTTTATCATATCCAATCATTGTTGTTGATGCATCTATGGTCTTTTACCAGATACATTTTTGATCATAACTTTTAAGTATTACTTCAGCCAACTGAAGTTGGCCTAACCCAATTCGGCCATTTGGCATGTAAGAAAGCCTGATATTTTTTGTTGCCTCTTTTACTTATTCATAATAAAAAAAATTGCTCTTAACATTTCTCATTTTTTGGTTTCATCGATGTTACATAAACAACATAATCTATTACAAAATTGTTTCTTTTAACAATGCATATAATGTGTATGAAAAAAATTAATTTGGTTAACTTAACAATTCCTTCTCTTTTTTAAGTAAAAACCCGGAAATGTCTGCTGTCTTTCTGGTTTTTAGTGCACCTCTTCAATGAGTGTTGTAAATAATAATAGTATATTAAATTTGAATTCAAATTTAGCAATCATTATTTATTTAGCATTTATTTCTAAGGATATTTTTCAGTTTATTTATAATTATTACCTACTAAAAGTAATCTGGGTTTTTAATAATTTTCCAACGTTTTATCCAGGCAAATAACAAGTTATCAGTTGCAATAAGCTGACTCTTACGTGTCTACTAAATGGCCGTTTCGTCGAAAACATCCCTATTGTTATTTTGTCATCGCGCGGTGTCTTGGTAGAGTAGAGTAGATCCAGGATTCTAGAACACTATACCTTTCGGTAGTTCAGGTTAATTGTATGTCTTATTCGGTTCTGATGAAGGACTCTGAATTGACTATCGATCACGGTTATCTACTAAGGTTGGAGCTCGCTACTATGTTCCCCATGTTATAGCCGTGTCGAAGTGGCGTAACTAGTGAACTAAAAGAGCTAGTAGTAGTTGGCCCGGTTTTAATATATAATGAATAGGACAAACAACTTTTTTTTTATTTAATATTTATAAACAATTGTGTTCTAATAAATAAGTTAGTTAATTTTAATAATGAATTTTATTTTTTATAGAATAGATGACTTTAAATTTTTAATTACTATAATAAAGTATTTAAAAACAAAATATTACGCGAGTATTGTGATAGAAAATTGATATCACGTTTTCCCTCCAAAAACGAGCAGATAGTATTCCTCGATATTTATTATTTTTTCGAGTATTTGTGTTAGTGTCGTTTGTGTCTTTGTTTTAATTACGAGATTACCTATACTTGGTAGCATAAGATTAAAGATTTATAAAATGGTCAAATGTTGCGTGGTTGGGTGTACTTCGGGGTATAAGAGTAACACTGAAAAAGTTCACCAATTTTGTGTGCCGAAAAATGAAGATCTCCGAATAAAGTGGGCAAAAGCAATACCTCGAAAAGATTTGGTATTTACGAAAAATACATATGTTTGTGACAAGCATTTTAATGAAAATCACATAATAAAGTTTTGGTCTTCGGGTGATGTTAAAGTAAGTTACCTAATATTTGTGATTTTTTTTTTAGATTTTATCATCTAAAGTATTTATTTTTAATTTATATTAGATTCCATACAAACAATGGAGACTTGTCGAAGGAGCCATTCCTACTATTTTTTATGGTCCCTCATATCTTTCTAAAAAATATGTTACACCTAGAAAAATTAGAAAAGCTTATTTTATAAAAACCTAATTTACAGACTTATCTGTTAATTAAATAATTCAAACCAGGTTGAACCAATGAACAATTTAACATTCAACATTTTTACTTAGAACAATTTTTTACAGAACTTAACTGCTTTTTTGTTTAAGTACAAAACTACAATCTATTGTATGTTTTACATGTAAAAGTCGGGTCGACTACTACTAGCGCTTTTAGTTCACTAGTCACACCACTTGTACATGTGATAACGTGCCGTGCTCCAACCTTAGTAGATAACCGTGCTATCGATCAAGTATGATTTAAGGAGTGACAGTGGCTCAAGTAGTTTAATGATAAATTCCATGTACCATACTTTGTCAAAAGTCTTAGCTACGTCAAGGAACACTCCATGGCAGTATTTTTTTGTCAAGAGATATGCTAATAACATTAATGATGACATGATGGACTTGATCAATTTTTCAAACTTTTTTGCTGATTCCTAACTGTAAGATAACGTGATTTCTCTATGATTAGACTTAGACGTTTAAGTAGAACTTTTTCTAAAAGTTTAGACATACTTTGAAAGGATCATATCAGTCGGTGTAAGGTGACATCTTCCTATGTTTTTCCTGGTTTGAGCTACATGATCACTTGTGTCCATTTTCGTTGTTTGTTACGTATTTCGTGCGAAAAATAGCATTGTATATCGTATATGGCGTGAGAAACTTTGGAAGCTCTGAGTAGTTTTGGACTAATTTCAGCAAAGTCTGATGCTTTTTTGAAGTTAAAGTTATTTACTTTAGTTACTTAGAAATGCTTAACGGAGTGAAATATTTTATTTTTTCACGTGTATAATTAAACTCTGAGTCTATGGAGCTATATAGAAATACTCGGTTTTTACTTGTTTGCTGTATTCCCGGGCTCCGGGTGTCGTCTTCCTTACGATGGGCGATACCTGAACAGTTTTCATGTGCCTTGTGACTTTCCATAACGAATTAATTGTTTTTCTCCGTTACTCAAGTATGATTTGAACATTGCATTTCTTTGATTTTGTAATTTCGCTTACAAGGGTCCATTAAGTTTTATCCGGTTTGTTGCTGTGTACTAATACCATATTCTCCTCACTTCTCACTTTGTTGGACCATTTTTTTTATGTTCAATGGTTAGGTAATCTAGTACCTATTGGAGCTGCTATTTTCGCCGTATTAACAATGCCATTGGTTAATTTGTATTACTGCAATTTCAATGTCTACTATTGTTCTTAGTCGAGTTGAAAAAGTTGTAGTTTCATCGAAGTTAATTCTGAATAGGTCCCAACTTGTTATTTTGTTTTCTTTAGTTTCACTATTACTATTGTTAATTTGAGTTTAGTGAGAAAAGCACGGGGATGTGAACGTCACTTAGCTCTGCTAGCTCCATAATTTTATTAAGTTCTTTTCCTCACGTGGAAGTCAATAAGGTCAGGTAATTTATTTGGGCCATTCAGCTAGTAGGTCGGTTTTCTAGTTGAGATGAATTGTGTTTTATTTGTGTTTGGTATAAACAATTCATGCCCTTTGGTGGTGATCAATCTCGATGCTTGATATTATAATTTTCTCCATCAATACTATTAATCTGTTAAAAATCTACTTTATCCTGGACAATACATAGTAAAGATAATAAGATGTCTTCTTTATTTCTTTAATGTGGACACTAGTCCAGATGAAAATATTATTGAGGGTTTTTATCAAGTTCGCAGTGCTTAATTAACTATTTTATTATTACTGCAGTTCCTCCATGACCGCGATTTCTTGGATGTTCTCTTATATATATCTGATAGCCACGTCATTCGGAACGGTCCTTGGTGACTAGAGGGTTTTCTGAAATTAAAGGTATGTTAATTTGTTCATAATTCATTTCTTCTACGTTTTGGTTTTCGGCTGGTTTTTTTAAGCCTGTCTTATCTAATATTATTTTGTTAGTGTTGACACTGCTGACACTACGTCAGACACCGATTATATATAATTTTGTCTGTTGTGCATTGGTTGAGTGTGTGGACCCTTTTGTTTTTCTTTCGTAGAATAAGCCATCAACAAGCGGAGCACCCTTTCTAATTTACAGCTTGTGCTTCACCACAATTTCCACATTTTATCTATGATTTCTTAAACTTAAGGTAATTTATGTTATTATGTTTTTCATTACACTTTAGTATTTTAAAAGAGGTTTTGAATGTGACCAAATTAGAATCAATTTTCATTCTTTTTTGTGATAATACTCGTTTTTAAAATCATTAATATGTTTGTTGTTTGCTTGTGGATCCTTATCATCAAAAATTAAGTATCTTCATATTTTTAGGGTTGTTTTTTTTTTTAATTTGAATGTTCGTAACTATTTTTTTTTAATGTCTAATTTCTTGAATTTCCTGTCTATACAATAATAGTAGAATAAGTAAATGTGAATGAACGAATATAAAATGAGGTGGTGGGAAAAAGACAATGAGTAGGAGTTTCACATTAGAAATTTTCACATGGATGGTGATTTAGGGAGAGATAGTAATAAACACTTAAAGTTTGATGCGCGTTGAGAAGATTTCTGGGTCATTCGCGTTTGAGGCGATTTGTAACGTATAATACAAAGATTGGATAATTCGCCTTTAATGTCCCAGGGATCGGTTTCAAGTTGTAATCCACGAATTTATCCCCCAAAGCTTTTATTTCTATCTTAAGTTGATATTTGTGATATTCAACTTTTTGCTCTTTCTTCAGGTACTTTTATAATTCATCGAAAATGTTGGTCGTCACCCGTTAGTATCTTAACTTCACCATTTAGATAAAGTTTTTATTTGTTTGTTTCTGATGTCCGTCAGGTACTTTGAGTTATAAATTAATCATTGGGGGTATATTGTAAATGTTGATAGAATTTCTCATGACTTCTTTTGTCACTTATTGTTGTTTTTAGAAGGGCTCAACATTTTTTTAGAGCTTCCAGTTCCTGTTCTGTGTGCAAAAATGCTACTAATTTACAGAATGGCAAAACATTTTATGTGAATAAGATAAATATTTTTTGTAACAAAATAACTAAAATCGATATTTTTTATTTGAATACTTTGGTAATATAAATTTAAAAATAATTGAGCTTTTAAATTATAAATATTTTTTAGGAACAGATTATTTTGATTTTTTTTTTTACGTTTTCTTAAATTCTTAAGCCCTAAATATTTTAACTCAAATGGGTCCACAATCTAAACATCAATTTTTAAATACAAAATATTTTGGGATTGGTGAATTCCAAATTAGATTATTTGATACCAGATCATCTTGAAGACCTGAATATTTAAAATTTAGTAATGTTTTATTGTCTATAAATAGTATGATAAAAATATATATTAATTTCTTTGTAAAATTATTACATTCCTTGCTTGGCTTAAAATCTAAAAAGGCAGTAAATACTATAGCAATTTATGTTTAAAATGTTCATCAGCTCTCATAATTTTCACTGCTGCCAAGGGTATATTTAGAAAAAAAAAATTGTTAAATATTTTATTAACGTTAATCAGACATATTATTTACTATGGTAGTAGAGTAATAGAGTATTTATATTTTTAATTAGGTAAAATTATAAGTGCGTTTACAAGTTCTTCATCAACTACATTGCCCTCAACGTGAGTATCTTTAAATTTAATCATTGGCTTATAATTAATATGTTGGAAATTACTGATTATATTTGCAAAATAACTTTAGTTCTGATAATCTGTTAGTTCCTAATATAGTATGTTGTTTTGATATTTTCAGGCGAAAATCACCAAAATTAACACCATATACTTGCCTTGAACATTGTTTTTTGTGTGATGATATATTTCGTATACTTGACCGTCATTTACATATTGGCCAGATACGAAGTATTGACAAGCAAAATGAATTTTTAAAAAGTAAGCGTTTAAGATCTTTTAATTTAAATATATATGATTTGATTTATCATCTTATTTTACAATTTTCGATATAAAATTTGTTTTTCCTATCACATAAAATGGTTTTGTAATTGTGTGCTACATGTTTCTTTATACTTATGGTATAATTATATTTATTTTTCTTAATTACAGATAATAGCTGTTCGTGGGCGGGGGAGGGGGCCTATTATTTATTTTAATAATATGAATCATTTGATAATAATATTTACTATTAATAAGATAAATTAGAACAAATGTTAATTAAAAAATAGACGAATAGGCATTCATCTAACGTAGGCAAGTTATGGTCTAACGTGTGATCTACCATAATATTTTAGTGATTTACGGGATACAACAAACACAGATTTTATTTTTAAATGTTTATTACACATAGTATTACATATGATGTAGATTTTACTATTTTGTATATTTATTTAAAAATGTCTATTACATATATTACATTTAACGTTGATTTAACTATTTTATTCACAGCATACCTTTTTAATATCATTGAATGTTTTGTAAGTAGTTCATCTTTTTCATTTATTGACCTGTACTAGTCCTCTGCCAAATACCTGTGGAACTTTTACGGTGTTGTGCCATTCATTTTCCTCTATAGGTATCTTCAATTTCAAAATCTACCCCACACTTTTGGAGTATTCGGTTATAAGATCGATGACGTTTTTAGAGTGATTTCTGTGTAATGAATGAAACTAATATATTTAAAACAAGTATTCAGCTTCCATTCATTGCATACAATCGTTGTTCCAAGAAAAACCAATTGGAATGAGCGTCTTTCTTACAGCATAATTCGAACACCCAAGGTTCCTCAACTCTTTGTCCATAACTTCGTTATTTAATTTCATAATTATTAACATTTTCTTTGTCAGAATCCGAGTATTTATTACAAATTAGGAAACATGAAAAAACTTAAGTAACCCTATCAATTATTTATGTCAAAACTGATTTCTACATTTATGTGATGTAGGTACATGATAAGTTAATGATTTTCACATGTTCATTTATAAGGAAAAGTAACACCTAAAAAACACCTAAAAACTGTTTATCAATATTACAATAATATCAGTTATCATAACATCTCCCTTTTATAATATTTTTAAGAACTAACAATATAGATAATATTGCATTATTTAGCAAAATTTAAGTGCAGACAATAAAGGTTATCTTTTAATTGATTTATAGTCTAATAGGTTTTTTACCATTCTTTCTTTATGGGTTTTAAAATTTGGGTTTGTTACTATCCTTATTTATCCTTTTATACTTCAACTACTTTTTTAAAATTCCTTTCATCATTAACCATAATGGCATCATCACTTTCATCCAAACTCAAATCGTAGTAATTTTTTTTCATAAATATTATATTTAGCCTGAGAATTTTCCCTTTTCATCCTTGTGATCTTGTCCAATTTGTCTTGTAGCATATGTTAATTTGGTTTAAATTATTTTGAAACATTTATGTATTCAGGAATTGTATGTTATATTAGTGGTTTTTTTATCTTACTAATACTAAAATTTTTTACATATTTTATTTAAATGTTTTTATTAATTTAATAGGGTTTCTCCTAGGATATTTTAATACAGGTATACTATTTTTATTAATTTTAATTTTAATTTCATCTAGAAATTGTCCAACTCCAGTGAATATATCAATTTTCTCATTAACAACATTTTATTTTTATTTTCAACTTGTGTACTTATTTACCTTATTAAATTTGTATTTCAATGTCTTGCAATCTCTAAATCCAAGTATAAAGTTATAGTCAATAATTTCAAAAACAACATTTGCCTTATATTTATCATTTTCAAACTATATTAATATTACCCTGCAATTTCATTGTGAATTCACCAAATGTTTAAATAATTTTTTTACTTTTTCCTCCCAATTGCTCTGATTAAATTTTTTCATAGGTATTTCTATTGGCATCACATTTAAGTATTCTCCTTTGTCTTAACCCTATTACTACATTTTACTTATTCTTCATTTGTACATTGTCTGTCCTGTTCAGTTGCTTGACAATATCAAGACTTTATCAAGATCCAGATCTTCAAGAAACAATTTTTCTTGAAGGTCTCTGTCACTGATATCATCAAGGATGATCTGTATTCGCAACAATTTGTCCTCTATTTTCCCAGTTACAGTTTTTTATGATATCTTTCGGGTCAGCATGAAATTTGTATCAAAGTCACTCGAATCCTGTTTTCTCATGAAAAATGTTAGATGTTCCATTACTTCGTTTCGCCATAGTATACTGTACCCTTCTAACTTTTCAAAAATAATGTTAACAGTTTCTTCGGTTGGGTCAATGTTAAATGTTCTTTATATCTTAACTCCATCACTGCCAAATAAATTTAATAAACTTTTTACCTGTATTTTTTCTGGTTTTGCCATTGTTTCCATGGCTTCAAAAAATACCAAGACTTCCTACTTAAATAATTTATAATTTTCATTTCCAGTTTGTTTTAAACATTCTAGTCCGTTCAATTCCATTATTGAAGATCTTACTTGGAACACTTTAGTTCACTTAAATTGTATCTTATTTTATCATATTAAATTCTGTACTGGGTCTGATCAAACAGTTGTCTGCCTTTTTCCCTAAATAGTATGGGTACATAAATTCTTAGAAGACATATTTTGTTTATACATTTATATTTTTAAATATTTGATACTTAAACGATTTTAGTTGAGCCATCCTTATGCATGGATTCATGCATTTGTGAATTTTGTTGGAGATATCTGGAAAAAACTTACAAATCCATTAGGATTGAAAGAATGAAGAATGAAGAAACATTTGATGAAAAAAAGTATAGATTGTTAGAAAGATGGACTGTGAAAAAAAAAGGATCAAAATATAGATCTCAGGCTAGGAGATGTTCAATATATTTCTGCTCTCAAACTTACTGTCATAAAATGGATGTGAATGAGTATAAAAGTATTGAAAAAATGTTATCATTGTTTGAGCCTTGTCGTGTAAGTAAATAATATTGATGTTGTGTTCAATTAATTATTGTCTTTAATAATTATTAATTTGTATTTTAGTTGGTTTTTGTTAAATCCAAAAAACAAACTCCAGACTTCTTGAAATTTCCCTTTTGTCTTTGTCAAGATCATAAGGCCATGGTAAATATGTTTAAAATATATTACTGACTACTTACTTAATATTGTTCTTGAACACAGTTTAATATGATTGTTTTTTCTTTAGATCATGGTAATGTCATCATGTCAAATATGTAGTTGCATATTAAATGAACCATTTAATACTGCTGACTGGTCAATGTATGGAATTTGGAATTGGGTATTGTTTGAAAATAATCTTCCTTTAACGCTGCAACGTGGTATGTTCATATGTATGACTTGCAGAGGACACATTTCTAAGTCCAATCCCAGTTTCCCGACTAAGGATTTGCAATTTTTATGGGAATATATCACTATGAGGTAAGACTTATTTTATAGAAATATATTCATCTTTATTATAATATTAAACTCAATTAAATTTCAGCAATACAATTCGTTTAAAATTATATGGAAAATCACAGCATAGTTTGTTCAATTTATGTCAAGGATCAACGTATGTGACATCTCCCATTATTGTTCCTAAGATTCAAGAAGAAAAAGAATTTCTTTGTTCATTAAAAGTTAAGTTTTCTGATCCTTTGATAACTGCAACTTATCATTATGAAGTTGACTATGATGAACATGATACAGAATCAATAACATGCACTGCATTATTAAATGTAACTGAACAAAATCCAGTTTTACCCAAATTAGAACCACAAGATGGTTATCATGAAGGACTTGATTTTATTTATAATATCTAATTATCTGAAAATGAAGAGATTAATCCATATCCAAGAATTTTTGATAATAAATCACTTCAAAATCTATTAAAAGTTGCCAATGTAGAAATAGCTATAAACGAGATCAGAGATTTTTGATACCAGTTAAGTTGTTAGTGGGTACAATGAAATAAAAATAATCAAAACTATCTAAATTCTTATAGTATAATATGTTATGTTGCCCAAGATAAAAACATCATAAGCCTAAAGGAAGTTAATCTATGTTTGATAGAAATAAGTACAATTCATAAAACTGTCAATTTAAAGAGACTGACAATAATATTATATTCATGTATTGCAATAATAGAATCACATAATGTGATGTCCAATTCTATGGTATTGTACATTTTAATGGAAGGATAAAGTAAATTGGATCAAGTGGTGACGATAAGCAATCCTGTTGTTTATCTTTACGCAATGATAAAAATATTAACAAAAACATTTTTTAAAATTTTGAAAATGATTCTGATTATCAAGAGATTTATTACTTAAAAGTATCAGATATTATAATTGTGCCAAAAGATATAATTTATGTTGATGATTTACATTTGGTGATAATGAACTTTACATACTTCAAGAATATTAAATATGCTCCTATAACTCATGGAAAACTTATGAATGTTTTACAACAGAGAACTGGTTATTCCCGAAACAGCCAATGAATTTTCTAAAGACTTAAAAAGAACAAAAAATAAACGTTGTACAATTGTTTTGGTGCCCCTAATGACCGTATCCATGCCTCAAAGCCAAACTTCTTACATCAATCATCACACCTAATTCAGTACAGCAAATAGTTATCAGCTGTGTTAAACTATTTACAATCCAAGATATGACTACTTGTAGTTCAAACACAAATATCAAAATATACCACTCAACAAATTAGAGGAATATGATTACCGGTTGCAATAAAAAAAAAAACATTAGGTAAAAGTTAAGTTATCCTCTGCCAATGTAAACTAAAGGGCAACCAACTCAAAACTTTCTTTTCTTTTGTCTTTCCCAGTTTCTCTATGGCTGACTGATTTTATAGCATATATTTTAATGATTGTATACACTATTTGTGAAGTCTTAATATAAAATCTTTTTAATTTCCACATATAGCAAGATGAATTTAAATAGATTATATTAATTAAAATCTAGTATTATAATTATAATTTTTATTTTTTTTATTTTTTTTTTGGAAATTCTTAAAAATGAAAACATCTATCGATGTACTTTTAAGTTTTAAAAGATTGAATAATAAATTACTAATTATGAAAGAGTTGTGTAATTTATTTTCAATAGCAATTATTTTTCTTGTATTTGAAATTGAATTGCTGACTGATTTTACTACATATTATATTTTAAATTAGTATGTAAGATGAACACAAAATTGAAAATAGATTAAATGTTAACATTAAAGATATTCATGGCAACAATTATAAATTATAATATATAATATAATCCGCGCCGTGAAAGAACTATACAGATCGCACATCCAAATGACTGCATTCCCGCCATCCTATGCGAAATTTCTATGCGGCAGATAGTCTGTGAGTACAGCCTCTCAAGTAGCACAATAGAAAGCACTCGCTGTATTGAGTGTTGAGGAGTTACATACCTTCTAAATTCAAATAAATGAAAATAGTTATAATAATTAGTGAAAAAATTAGGACGTGGAACAGGAACAAGGCACTTTACTCTTTAAGAAGTAACGGTATTTGTCAAACGATATCCTGTAAAAATGTTAGTACTTACTTCATTCTTAGTGTCTACCGCTGCCAATAATTTGCCGAACTGTTCAGATAGCAAGCACTCGCTCTTGTAAAGTTGTGGAGGAAAAAAACCTTTTTGGTCGGCCGCCGTATTGGTTCTCTCTTGGCACTGTATATTATTTATGTTATAATAACTTATCTGAAGGCTGGTAACTATAGCTTAACCGGTGGAATTCTGCAGTTGAGAAAATCTATTATCAGCCGGTTAGTGTTAATCGACACTTAACTTGATATTGTATTTTGTAAGAACGGAATCTATATTTTATGATAATAAATATTGTCATTTATTTTACTATTTGACTCAAGATTAGACATATGTTTTTTTTTATTTATTCTATAGGACATTTTAACATGATTTATAATTACAATTAAATTAAGATTTGGAGGTCGTGTTGGTTTTCGTTTCACCTAATAGTGGGTTATTATTCTTAATATTTCATTTTGGAGAATTTTAATAATTAGGATATGTCGACCCAGGCATAAGGAAGACACAAGATAAAATTAATTTTATTAAAAAAAAAAATACAAAACGCCATTGTGTGTTATTTTCAAACATGGAAAAATGTTCATGAATTTCTAACTCAAAATAATTTAAAAAATGTCTTGATTTTTCTGAATTTTGTCAAATTACAATTATTTCAGACCTTTATAAAAGTTGCTGTGAATTTAAGAATAACTTTTTTTTATTGACAATGGTGAAATAAAAATTGAATTTTTCTTATGTCTTTAGATAAATATAAATTTTTTAAAAATTGTGCGGTGTATAGAATGTACTTATGTACTAATATAATGCTCATAATAACATTCGGCGAAAATTCCATGTACTTACGGTTATTTTTTTAGAGTTAAAAAACAAAATCTATTCGGTCAAAAATATTAGTTTTGAGTAAAAAAAAACTGATTTCCTTAAATTGTTTTGATTATTCCCGGCGTTTTTAAGAACAGGTACTGAAATTCAATTTTGACCTCCTGAATTAACCAACTAAATTTCCCACTGGAAGTGATACTGAAGTTGAAAATCAAAACTGTGTACACAAATTTTTTTTTAAAAAGCACACATAGTAAAATCAATACATAGGTAGGTACTTACGTAGCTCCGCTGTCTTTAAAAAGGTGTTTATATATTTTTTAGATTTTAGGTACAGTTTAAACTTCTTATGAGTAATCTTGCTATACATTTTAAACTTTGGCTATACAAATTGGATATTTTATACATTTTTAACAGTTAAATAATAAATATTTGCAATAATTCGTAAATTTATCAACATTTGTCTCAAATAATTTTAAAGAAAAATCTTGCCTATGTAATATAATTTGCTATTGGCGTCTATGCCGCCGCTGACCTCGGTATCGAGAAGCGTAATGTCAGAACACGGACGGCATCACTCTCTGGGAGGTAACTGTTTAGGTGTCGAGACCGCCTTCCCCTCAACCGGACATGGCAGAAACCTACGGGTGCCCAATTAGAAATTCTGCCAAATAGGCGTCTAAACTAGGCATTTGGGCCTACTCCCGGACATAATGCCATACGAAAAAAAGGACTCGACTCCCTCTTCGTGCCCTAAGAGCCCCATCCTACCAAGTGACCATTAAAAGGGGAGAAAGGAGAGCTATAATCGGCCTTTGGTAGGTGAGGTGGTCGGTGACCCTGAAGGCAGCAAGAATATGCCACGCCATCCCGGACGTCCGAAGGTGGCTGGTAGGAATTGTGCTCGAAGTGCCTCTGTCATACTACATTACGCAGGCACTAACGGGTCACGGTCGCTTCCAGAAGTACCTACTCTGTATAGGCAGGGCTGACAGCGCAAGATGCTACCATTTTCCGGGCGAATTAAACGCAGCTGACCACACGCAGTGTTAGTGTTCGCCCACCAAGACGAACTGGGCTCTCGCCTCGGACAACGACCATCAAGACATTATTGTATAGTCCGGAATTCAATGGCTCCCGGTCGACCCTTGAGGAAAAATCCTTGGTAATTGGTTCTTAGTAATGCCGAGGATGTATTCCGCATCCTCTATAAGATGGTGGAGACTATCCTGCAGTTGAAAGAGGAGGATGAAAGATTTCGACAGGCGGCTGAGAGTTACTGAATCTAGGTGCCTAACCCACCAAGCACAAGGAACAAGCAGGAGTACGCGAGCACAGGCCCTGGAGCCATACGGTACGTGAACTCGAGACCGGCAGGCGTTAGCAGTTTTGAGAAGTCGGATCGCACAAACTCCGGGCACCCCCGTTTTTGTTCTTATTATTCTTGTAATAATTGATTGATCGTAAGCCGCCCGTGCCTAGCCCCCTGATAGACACTACATACAAGCGCTGACTAAGAAAAGTCTGTCAGGTCTGGGGTCATTATGCCATCGTTGATATTGTTGTAAGCTTTAATGCTGTCGTTGATTTCAATTAACGATTTTCCACCAGAGGAGGAGTAATGTTTAAAAGGTGTTTAATAGTTCTTCCCCTGGCTCAAAACACGAAAAAAAAAGGTATGGACGTACTGTTATAAACCCATTTCATAGAAGTAATAGCTAATAAAAATGAACACAAAAAATTCTCTATATTAATCTAATGATTTTTCTTATTGTAGACAACATTTTATCGTATGTAATTTATTGAATTAATTGAGTTTATGCATTTTAGTATATAGATGTGTTGTAACTTGTAGGTACATAGTAGGAGCATCTCCATTCAAGTCACTTATGTAGGTACAAATTTTAAGCATAATTTAAGTTAATTATACCAGAAATTATTGTGTAACGTAAATAGTAAAACATTATATTATATTATACTGATAACAATGTTGAAGCTGACGCACGGCATTGCTTGTAAAATTATATGCGTGTTATCACACACCTAATAATACATAAGTATACAATAAAATGCAATTGATGCATACAATTGTAGTGAAATTTAAATAGATAAATCACAGATATTTGATTAAAGTTTAAATATCACTGTAGTTGATGATTGTTATAATAAGCGTGAATATGTGCAAAAATAATATAGGTAATAGAAATAATGGCTGGTTGAAAAAAATAACAATCAAACGCGACAAATACGGATACTCCCTGGCATATGTCGATATCCATGTTGAATAATGAACAATTAATTTAATAATTTAGGTTAGCTAAAAAAAATTGTTTACTTTTATATCTGAATATTTAAGCAAATGTGTTACATTAATTTTTTTTAAATTTGTTTTTGTTTTTGCGACTTCGCGTTGTTACTTACTAAAGGTATCCTTCAAAATTGTCTACAATAATTTTCAGACTATGGATATTGATGAGTGATGACCATATCAGAAAATTGTCGAATATTCAATATGTCATAGATACCTACTTAATGATAATAAAATTATTCGGTTATATAGGTACCTACGATTGAGAACTGTCGATTTTTTCCAACTTACCAAATTTAATAATAATTGTAATCAAACGATAATTTGAGCTTTTTAAAATTAAAATTCTAACTTTTGCAGCTTAATCAGAAACAATTTTTAAAAAGCTACGATAAGACAGGGTAAAAAATAGAAATACCAATTTTAAAAAAAAACACATAACTGAATCAGTGTATCTTAAGATAAATAATATGGTGACGTTGCAATTAAATTCGTTTTCAATCATATTGGTTTATGGGTCAGCAGTAAGTTTCAGTAACTCTTTGTGAATTAAAAATGTTCTCAATCGTTAGGTGAAAAAAATTCTTATTCGATAGTCAAATCCGGTGTTATTGATCATTATTCATCTCTAAATCTTTATCGATCTCCAAAATATTTGAAAACGTTTAAAACAACAAATTTTGTTGAAATCAATTTGGTTTTCGAAAAAAAACAAATCAACAGAAAATACACCGATTTTAGTTTGGAATCTAGTTGTTTCTAGTAGGTATATTGACAATAGTAAAAAGGAAATTAGTATATTTTTAGATTTAAAAAAAATCTTTGGTCCTTCTAATAATAGTACGTAGTTTGATTACAAAATTAGAATATCGTGGCATTCGTGGTATTGCCCTACGTATTTTGTTATATCATATATTTCAAATCGATCGCAAGCAAAATAATTACAGAAACAATTATTTTTATTATTTTTTAGTTTATTGGGATGCTCTGTATTTATAAAATGTACTTTGATTCCATATTTAGCTCTTTCATTATTATTGCATATTATTGCATAATTGTATTCGCTTCTTTAAAAGCTTATATATGTTTATATGAATATTTTTTTTCTAAATTATTGTTGAACTCTCTCCCTCTCTCTATAAAAGAAGCTTAACTGTTTATAGAAAGAATTGACGGAAACTCAAAAGTAACAAGTTAAGTTAAAAAGTTTAAGTAAAACTATCTTTTAAGGTCTATGTTAATCAAGGGCAACGTATATTGTACTTCTTGTCGATAGATATACGTATGTACCTAATACCTATGCCGTACCAAAATTGTTTACTGTATTATATTACTCTCTATTAAACCGATATTTCACACTACACAACACTACCAGGCCCTGATTTACGCATGTGCAGGCGGTGCACTAGCACAGGGCTCCCAAATGTGAAGGGGGGCCCTTCCCATTTAACACTTTGCTACTATAAATAAAAGATATTTTAATAAGATTTAGTAGCTATAACCTATTTAAGGAGGGCGCAGCTATGCAGCTGCTGTATAGAAATATTGTGTTATTACTTATCATTCCAAATATTTCATTTGTATAATGTGAATAATGTGATTACCTATTTACAGGCACGAAGTAATTTCAATTTATTGTAGTAATTTGTTATTTATAATGTCATCCAAAAGAAAATTATTCTTCTCGATATGAGAAAGTTAAAAAAACAAACGTGAGAAGAAAAAAAAAGTTGACCGGTTCACTAACAAAATTTCTTTGCAGCTCTTCCTCTAGAACTGTGGTGCCCAAAAATAAAACAGAAGGTAATCATAATGATATTTCATGATTTATGAACACAAGTTTAATGTGTAAAGATAAACAAAAATAATTTATACAGATTTTGATGTATCAATCAATATCGACATATTTGACAGTAATACCAATGATCCTGAAGCTGAAGCACTAATAGATTATGCAAATGACAATAAAAATACCTGTGAGTGTACTACTTTATATGTCTATTATATTTAATATGTTAACTACCTATTACATGTTAGTAAATGTATTTAACTTTGGGTATAGATATCATAGATGTTGACATGTTGTCAATATTTAAAATATTAGTGATCAACCTGATGAGACTGGGGATGACAATAATTCAAATTATGAAAATAAAAATAAATTAGCAAATTGTAAGTTCACTATTACTCATACATACTATACTTTAGTTATAACCAATTACCATTAAATGTTACCTAATGAATTTATGTTCTTTGTCATATCTTATTTGATCCATGTATTGTGATTAATTATTTTTACTCTAAGTGTTTTAATGGTTTTGTTTTATTTGTTATTGTATCTTATGAATGATATAAATGTGCTTTAAAAATGTATAATTAACCTAACACAATTATTCTAATATAATATTTGGTCAAATGTTGTATTGTATTAATTTAAAAACTCTTAATATATTGTCATGTTATTTGCTTATTTGAAGTTGTATTATTATTGTTGTGTACTAATAAATTACCTTTTGTGTGTAAAATGTATTGACATGTATAATATGTCTTAAATGTTCCATTTATTGAAAAATACAAATTCAGTATAAATTATCAATGCCGCGCACAAACTGTAGTAGTGAACGTTCATTCTCTGTACTCAAATATATAAAAATCGAATGAGCTCTACTTTAACACCAGAAAAACTGGACTCTTTATCATAACTGGCAATCACCCATGATGTTACTAAACAGCACGGATATAGATACTATGGTTGCACGTCGGCCTATATTGGATCACAGCGTTGAGCGGCGCCGAATGTTCTTATCAAATCTGACGAAAAGTCGCGTTTTACTAGCGCCCTCTACAGTAAGAACTCTTATACCATGTTACCCTAACTTTACAAACATATTTATAATTTATATAATCGCGGGTATATGATATACCAGGTCATAGAGGGCGCTAGTATCACGCGACTTTTTTTAAATTCTTGATAAGAACATTCAGAGCCGTCATATCCGTGCTCGTTGTGCAACCATAGTATCTATATCCGTGCTAAACAGTTAACATTTGAAGACGTAATTGCTGACTTTGCAAAAAAAAAACAAGAAAAAAATATTTTGTTAAAAAGGCCCACAAAGTTTATAGTGCACAGCGGCCCTATTTCACTAAATCAGTGCCTGGACACTACACATAATATTATAATTAATACAATTACGTCAAAATGACCTTGGAAAATTGAAAACACTATCAAGATTACTGATTTTATGTTTTTTATAATACTTAACAAATTAAATTTTAACTCATTTAAGGTTCTTGATGGCCATGCTGATGAGGCGCAATTAGGTGTATTGTGTGTAAAAAGTTCTTCTTTGTTTTTACATTATTATACATTTACTTATACATTACGCACATACTATTATCTTATTTTTTGTTTATAATTTTCAATCGCTTTTTAAACACTCACACAGTGTAGTAGAACATGAGCTATGACTGTAAAATGGTTTAGGACTAAATAATAATATGAGTACACTATACTCAGTTTAGGTACAATTTTTTTAAAATAAGCTAAAATGAATCTGTAACCGACCAGGATACAAAAAACAGGAGGTCTGTAGAGGTACAAATAGTTGTGTAAGTACAAGTTAAAATACGAATAATAGATTAATAATGGACTTCGGGCACACACACTCAGGGAAAATATAGTTTTAATTTCTATGATTTCGTTCCATTGATTTACTATTTTATTGTTTCCTTTAAGTTTATAACAAATTCCATAATTTCAAAGATAACATAATTAATTTAAACATATTTTCTTTAGTTTAATAGTAAAAGTATATCACCAAATTTTAACGATTCCATTGATTTTACTATTCGTTTTTCTTTAAAATAAAGAAAAAAAATATTTTATTTTATGTTCAACGGTCTTAGAAACGATAAAAAAATATCTTAATTTTTACGCATAATTATTAACATTGAATTAATGAAAAATAGTGCTTAAATTGTCAACAAAATGGTTTAAAACCAATATCATATTACATTAAATGCATTGCAATCAATCTTTACATAAATGCTACTTTTCTTATTATCGATGTCATTGGATATCATAATTCAAGTTTCTTAAAATAGTATTAGTTTTAAGGAAATATTATCAATGTTTCCTTATTTCTCAATTCAACAACTGTGAAATGGTATTGAATTAATAGCATATGCCGTTAAATTGACGAACATTTATTTTTATATTTTAAGATAAACGAAATGTCAGCCAATCAGAAGACATGTTTCGGTGGCGGTATATGTTATAACTTATAGTAGCAAATTATAAAACGCGTTTGTCTTTGTCGTATATACTCGTATTGAGTTACCACGTTATTTTTTGTACTAAGTGTAAAATATTGTTAATGTAAATTACTAAATACGATGGATGAAATTATTAGACATTCTGATTTTCTAATATTACCTGAATCTGCAGATTTGTCACAAGATTTGTTCGCGGAAAGTGATGATTTGTTAAATACTCTTATTGAACTTAAGGGACAATGCTTTTATCAATTGTTTAAAGGTAAGTTTATTTATTTATTCTATATTCAGCAATCAGCATCTATTATAAACTAATATTGCCTGTAATAGTTGTTTCTTCACATACTATATTTTAATGTGAGTTTTAAATTTACCAGTTTCAAAAAATATATTTATTAGTGCTATAGATTTTCATAATAATGACCTTGATAATTATAAAGTACTTAGAACTAAAAACAAAACTCATTTCTATTCATATTAACTATTAACATATTGTATTTTACTTTATTTATGTAGACATGTTATATAAGTAATATATTGAGTAGTAGTAGTATAGTGAGCGATTCAAGTCTTTATTGAAAAAATAATTTAAAATCCTCCCTTATTAAACCAAGTTAGAATTTTAGAAGTTAATATTGGTTATAGATAGCATATGGAAAACATATATATTAGCACCCTAAAATTTTTCATTGAAATTGTTAAAATTATGCTTAGTATTTCAACAAATTTGATGGGAACATCACTGGTTATATTATCTATATTTAGACGTACCTAGGTAGTTTAATATATATTTGTATAAATACTTTTTAGAATGCAATATCACACATGAAAGCCTTAAGTATATGACTGCTGCACGCCTGCACATTTGGATACCTTATGTCCTAAGGAGGAATTTGGTCAAAGAATAATATTTGAACATAGTTTGATGAAATGGCAATCACATTTTAATGTTAGTATTAAATACAAAATAGGTACCTTTACATTACCTGATATAAGATATTTGAATAAATATATGAATTGTTTCTCTAGGAGGGTACACATAGCAATAATTGTATTAGTTCTAGAGCAGACAGTGAATCCCCGTTAACTTCAGACACGTCAAGTGTAAACTATGAAATGAATGTAAGATTTATTTTATTTAAATCATAATTATTTAAAATCCATGAATATTTTGAATAATATCCAAACAATTTCTATGTATTTAGTTTAATGTAGAAGATATATTGAATAGATCAGGAAAAGGAAGTATGGTTGTAGAATTTTACTCAAAGAATTGTAAATTAAATGAACAGTGTCGCAAAACTGTTACTGATATAGTAATTGAATACCTTCTTCAAAATAAAATT